GGGGTTTGTTAGGGGATGGGGGCTGTTAAGGGTAGGGAGTTTGTTAGGGGATGGGGGCTGTTAAGGGTAAGGGGGGGCGCCAGGCCTCAGCCTCCACCTCTCCCCCCTTTTCTCTCTTCCTGGGCAGACAGAAAGTGACCCTTTGCGGTCCTCCTGCTCAGGACCGGCCAGTTCTCGCTTTGCAACCCCAGGTCGCTAAGCCGGTGCGCCAGGCTCTCTCCTGGCACCATAAAGGGAGGTCCTGTCTGGCTTGGCTTGGGTTTTGCCCACCGGTGGAGCGTGGCTTTCGGACGGGCACTCAAGTAGGGTCTGCTTCCTTCTCTCTCCCTGGCAGGTGGTCAAGAAAGAAGGGACGGGCACTGAATGCCCCATGATAGGGGACAAAGTGACCGTCCACTACACTGGATGGCTTCTGGATGGCACCAAGTTTGACTCCAGCCGGGACCGAAAGGACAAATTCTCCTTCGATTTTGGAAAAGGTGGCATCTCCCGTGGCTCTTTGGTGGATAGTGGCTCTCTTCTCAATTCGCCACTTATTTCTATCCCACCTTGATTGTTTCAGAAATAGCTCAGTGTGGCCAACATAGCCAACATGCAGCCTCCTCCTATTTCATCGTAAATTATAATGCTAATTTTCCTGTCCAGACTTCCATAGGGAATTCAGTGGCCATCGTCTGTTCCCCTATACTGTGGACAGACTTGCACAAATATGATTTTATATGATCGATACTTATTTTTGGGACTGAATTCCGGGTATTATTTAATGGGGCCAATTTAATGTGATAAAAACCCACAACCCACTAAAACAGTGATGGCGAATCTTTTAGAGACCCAATGCCCAAACTGCAACCCAAACCCCCCTTATTTATCACTGGGTGCTGGGTGGGCGTAGCCGCGGTGGTCATTGCAGACTGGGTGGGCGGGGCCTGGGTGGCGGGAGTCAGTCCGTCACCATCTCCAGGGCACGGCATGCGTGCCCACAGAGAGGGCTCTGAGTGCCGCCTCTGGCACGCATGCCATAGGTTTGCCACCACTGCACTAAAACATTAATTCTCAAAATGCTGTGGGAAACATAGGGTGATCTTCAGCTTCTTAAAAGTGTGGAAAGAAAAACTTACCTGGATGATGAGATGAGAAATCAGATGGCAAGCTCTAGCCCTCAGATTGGGGAAGTTGCCCAAATTAAAATCCTGACAGTCTTTTGCATAGTACAGGTGGTCCTTAACTTACAACAGTTCATTTAGTAACCGTTCAAACTTAACAATGTCAATGGAAAAAAAGTGACTTGGGACTTGTTTTTCACACTTCCAATCACTGCAGCATCCCCACGGTCAAGTTATCCAAATTCAGGAGCTTGGCAGCTGACTCATTTATGACGGTTGCACGTGGGGTCACCTGATTACCCTTTTTGTGACAGCGGGAAGCCAAATTCACTTAATAACCATGGCAGTAACGTAACAACTGCAGCGATTCACTTAAAAACTCTGCCAAGAAAAGTCATAAAATGGGGCAAAATTCACTTGACAAGCTTAGCAACAAGAAACGTCGGGCTCATTTGTGATCGTAAGTTCAAGGACTACCTGTGCTTGGCTGACTAAAGAGAGGGTGCAAATGAGGCCAGTAATAATATCTTCATTAATGTGACAAAAGATTCTTAATGCAAAGAGGACGTTTGTCTCGGCCCTCCGTGGAATGGAAGCCAAGGTTTGGTGCTCCTTCCCACATCAGTTTTGCCTCCTTGCAGACAGAAGGCAAATGACGACAGCACTTCCTTACTAGAGCTGGCAGAAACGACTTTTTCACAGTTTCTCATCAAATGGTCCAGAAGGAAACTTTGTAGGGAGTATTTATATTTTCCAACAATTCCTGAAGGGCGGGACTCTTCTCTTGTTGAGGATAGTTGCCCTGTTTTTTGAGCAGTCCCCACAGGAGGGAGATGGGTCTCTTTCTTGAGAAGCTCAGTTTGAGTAACATGTTCTTTTATTTTATTTTTTGTGGTTAGGTGAGGTGATCAAAGCATGGGACATCGTGGTGGGAACGATGAAGATCGGAGAAGTTTGCCAGATTGTCTGCAAACCAGAATATGCCTACGGCTCTGCTGGCAGCCCCCCCAAGATACCTGCTAACGCCACCTTATTTTTTGAGGTACGCTTGACGGGCACGTTGGACCAATGAAAGCTCTGCCTGCTCTCTCTGTGCCTCCCCTGCCCTCAATCTGTTCTCTGTTCCACAGCCACTATGGATGTCTTTCTTCTCCCCAACCTCCTCCTGTGTGCCTTTTTCTCAGCCTTGCCCTCTCCTTGCAGGGACACCCCCCATCTAATGTTTTATACTGGTAGTCCTCGACTTACAGCGGTTAGTTTAGAGACCGTTCAAAGTTGCACTGGCCCTGGAAAACAGTGACTTAACGACCGTTTTTCACCCTTACCGCCCACGGTCACGTGATCGAAATTCAGATGCTTGGCAACTGGCCTGTACTTGTGACAGTTGCAGTGTCCTGGGGTCACGTGGACCCCTTTGGGGGGCTTTCTGACCAGCAACGTCAAGGGGGGAGGAAGTCAGATCAATTTTGCAGCCGTGTTATTACCGTGTTTCCCCGAAAATTAAGACCCCTACCGGAAAATAAGCCCTAATCAGCATGATTTTTTTTTTCAGGACGCTCGTAATATTAAGCCCCACCCCCCAAAAAAATAAGCCCCAGTTAAGATCAGCCAGACGGACGCATTTAGCGCCGTATTTCCCCAAAAATTAAGACCTAACTGGAAAATAAGCCCTATTGTGTCTTTTGGAGCAAAAATTAATATAAGACCCAGTTTTATTTTGGAGGGGAAACACGGTCACTTAACATGTGCAGCGATTCGCTTAACAGCCATACAGGAAAGGTCGTAAAACGGAGCAAAATTTGCTTAGCTAATTGTCTCGCTTAACAACAGAAATTTGGGGCTTAGCTGTGCTCGTAAGTCGAGGACCCCCTGTAGTACAAAGGTGGGATACAAACCCAAGAAGCCAGCAGTTCTGTGATAGGGAATCTCCTCCTTAAATCAACTCCTTTTTTTTCCCTTTAGTCCTTTCGATTGTGCTCCGCTCGCTGTTGTGTGTCTTTTTATTTAAATCTGTATCTGATCCCTCCTCAGTGGGATCTGGCTTCCCCCTTGGTGCAACACAATCCTCTGATTTTTTTCCTCTAGATAGAACTGTTTGAGTTCAAGGGAAAAGACTTAACCGATGAGGAAGACGGGGGAATAATTCGTCGGATCCGAAAGAAAGGAGAAGGCTATTCCAAGCCCAACGAGGGAGCCTTGGTAGAGAGTGAGTATCGGATGAGCTGGGATAAGTTAAACCCAGGGGGTGGAGCACTGTGGCCCTTTTGTGGCCTGTGGACTTCCAACTCCCAGAATTCCTGAGCCAGTCCACAAGGCGTGAAGGGGCCGTAGTTCTTCTGATTTAAACGTATGCCGGATTATTAATCTGGATTTCAGGGCCCTGAAATCCAGATTAATAATCCAGCATATGTTTACATCTGTATAGTGTTGTGTTGAAATACAGGTAGTCCTTGACCTTTGCTCTTTCAGCTAGATTTACCCAAGGAACAGCCTACCATGCAGATGTCCCCTTTTTCTGTCACATGTGCTCAATTATACTCATCCTCTGAGGTGATGTCTCAGTCATTCTTTCTTTCACTCTCCTGCACACATCTGTATTTGGGGCTGTCCCAGGAGAAAAAGTAACATACCTCCTTCCTGCACTCACAGCATGCTAGGAAATATTGATGTAATTCCTTGCAGCTTTGGAGTGTGGCTCGCTACAGCAGTGGTCCCCAACTAATAGAGTAGAATAGAATAGAATAGAAATAAGAATAGAATAGATTTAGAATGGAATGGAATATAGAATACAATAGAATAAGAAGAATATAATTAGAATAGAAAGTAGAATAGAATAGAAAGTAGAATAGAATAGAAAGTAGAATAGAATAGAAATAAGAATAGAATTGGAATGGAATAGTATAGAATAGAATAAGAATAGAATAAGAATAGAATGGAAACTAGAATAAACTAGAATAGAAATAAGAATGGAATGGAACAGAATATAGAATAGAATAAGAAGAATATAATTTAGAATAGAAAGTAGAATAGAAAGGATAGAATAGAGGATAGAATAGAATAGAAATAAGAATAGAACAGAATAGAATAGATATTGGAATATAGAATAGAATATGGAAAGAATAGAATATAGAATATAGGATAGAATAAGAAGAATATAATTAGAATAGAATAGAAACTAGAATAGAGGATAGAATAGAATTAGAATGGAATAGAATAAGAAGAATATAATTAGAATAGACTATAATAAAATAGAAAGTAGAATAGAATAGAGGATAGAATAGAAATTAGAATAGAATAGAATTATAATGGAATGGAATAGAATATAGAATACAATACAATAAGAAGAATATAATTTAGAATAGAATAGAAAGTAGAATAGAAAAGAGGATAGAATAGAATAGAAATGAATGGAATAGAATAGACTAGAACAGAATGTAGAATAGAATAGAATAACAGTTGGAAGGGACCTTGGAGGTCTTCTAATCTAACCCCCTGCTTAGGAAGGAAACCCTATACCATTTCAGACAAATGGTTGTCCAGTCTCTTCTTAAACCCTCCACTGATGGAGCACCCACAACTTCTGGAGGCAGGTTCCACTGGTTCTGCCAGGAAATCTCTCCTTAGTTCTAGGTGTTCTTTAATTCTTTCCTGCTTAACGGACCGGGGGGGGAACCAAATGGTTCCACGTGAGCGGCAAGTGCGCTCGTTCGCGTGCCGCTCCCATTTGCGCAAGCGCCTGCCGTGGCCCGTGGGTTGGGGAACCCCTGCTCCACAGAGCGAACGTCAAAAGTAATCAGATCTAAACAATACGCTACTTTTTATGCCAGTTGAGATTGAAGGCCGGCACGGGGATCGCGTATTTGACCAACGAGCGTTGCGGTTTGAAGTAGGCGAGGCCGAGAACTACGACCTTCCTCCCGGCTTGGACAAAACACTACAGAAAATGGAAAAGCTGGAAGAGGCCGTGGTTTATCTCAAGCCCAGGTGAGCCCTTTTGCCCTGAACTGTGCCAAGCTCAACTTTGGGGAATGAAATGATGGGGGTGGCGGGGTCTGTTTAGACAAGCTATTTAAGGGAGAGATATTTTGCTCCTAAACATCTCTCCTGTCTCTTAACAGCTACGGCTTTGGAAGTTTTGGGAAACCAAAGTTTCAGATCCCTCCAGATGCCGACTTGCAGTACGAAATCAAACTCAAAAGCTTTGAAAAGGTACGTAAGGGGGCCACCTCCACAGAGGCAGAGGGGATGGGGAGAGAATTGGCCTTAAGCAACAGGCACGTGCTTCATTTCTTTTTTTTGTGTGTGTAATTTTAGCACATTCGTTTCTACTGAACCTTATTTGTTTCATTCTTTTTTTAAAAAAAAAATTATTAATTTTTTCAAATAAACATATAAACAAATAATACAAATATGGTGCGTTTCATTAGAAAAACAAACACATAAAAAGCCTACTCATTAGGTATTCAGAAATAATCGGCGGTCCCCCCCCCTGCATCCCCACTCCCTCCACCTTCCTACCTACTTCCCTCTTCCTTCCTCCCCCTCTTAACCACGACCTCTCCTCTTTCCTCCTTCCCAACTATCCTACACATCCCATCACCTTCTTTTCCACCACCTCGGATGCAGTTTAGGGGTACTAGCTGATCATCTCTTCTTAAAGACAAACATTTACATTACATTTATAAATACACCAATTTCTTTTTTATAATTCTACCCCTTCATCCCCTTCCCCCCTCTCCCCCCGGACTTCCCAGAACTGAGCACAGGGATAAATACATAACATCCCAAGTGTAAATTAAGCTATCCATTCGTAATACAAATAAAATTAACATACTTTAACTCTAATATACAGTAATAAACTTAAATATAATATATATATATATATAAATTATATTAAATATATAAAAAATATTAGAAAAAAAAATATTTACTCAAAAGCTATACGATAATTATTTGTTTCATTCAACTGCAAAGGGCACCATTACACATTGCGGTCTAGTACACGAGGCGGGTTTTTAATGCAGTTAAGTTTACCATTTAAAGATGTTTGGTTCGTTCTCCTTCGTCCCGTCAGAGTTTTAAAGTTTGGGGAGAAATCAAATGGTCCAGGCAATAGGATCGTCTCTTTTCCTGTCACTTCTGCTTGGCGTTTGATCAAACTGTCCTTCCATTATTCATTTAATTTGTATGCCTGCCCATCTCCCCTAGGTGACTTTGGATAGGGAAGCGTGCTTAAAATGTTTAAGATAAAAATACATAATGTAAATGAAAACTTAACACGCACGAATAAAATGAGGATAATCATCGGCAGTATTTTGCGGGTTTGCCCAACTGCCCTGCCCCCTATATATGGGAGAAAAGTAGGGTACAAAAGACCTTCCAAAAGTTTCAAACTCCTTTGTCTCTCTTTGACCTGAGAATTTCTGTCCGTGGGAATGCTGCTTAGTACTTGTCTAAACTTGTTACTGGTTCTCCTGAGTCACACTGTTCCAGTTTCGCATTGTGAAGTGTCTTGCAGTCCAGGATGATGGGCTTGCTGTCTTCCAAAGTTCCCACAGCTTTTAACCCTTGGTGTCAGCATTTGGCACGTTCCACAAAAGAAACCCCCGGCTCTTTAGATTAACCAAGAGTGTAGCTTTATTAGAAAATCCATCTGGCTGGATTTGATGTTGAATTTGATAACTGCTGCAAGACTACTAGTAGCTCAATGTTGGAAAACGGAACGTCTGCCCACTATAGAAGAATGGTCACTTAAAGTCTCAAATTTAGCAGAAATGGCCAAGATTTCCGGTTATGTGAAGGATCATTCACAAGAAAGATATATTTCGGTTTGGAGAAGATGGATAGATTATATTGAGAGTAAATATGGTACTAAAAAATTTCACTTGGTTTTTGAGTAAATTTTAGAGTATTAATGTAGTTTATATGTTATAATAGGTCACTTATTTTTACTTATAATTATTAATACGATGTTACAATTATTGTGTTTAATATTAGTATATTTGTTTAAAAGAGAGTTAAAGGATGTTACAGATTTGTTAATCTAATAGTTGATTAATGTTAGAGTATGGTTATTGTATTGTTAACCCTGTGATTGGCTCTGGGAAGTGGGGGGGGAGGGAGGGGGGAGGGGAAGGGTGGGTTCTGGGGAGGGGGGGAANTTTTTTTTCCCCCTCTGGGCCACCCACAATTCATAGTTCACCAATTGAGTTCAGTGCTTCTGCTTTGGTCAAAACATTCTTCATGGATCAGGTCTTCTCTGTTGCTAAGATCAAATGTAGCAGCACCCCTTCCCTCTTCATCCTTCTAGAACAGACATGTCAAACTTGTGATGTCGCACAGCGTATCGGGACTTTTGTCATTGCTGGCAATGAGGTGGGCGCGTCTTCCACGTGATGCGTCCAGCCCACGGGCCGGCAGTTTGACACCCCTGTTCTAAAAGGCCAAATAGTTATCAAAGAACCGGGAGGATTCTGCAGTCTTGGCTGGAGTTGATTTTGCAACCGGTGTGTTCAGGTTGAAGTCTCCCGTGATTCTTAGATCCCAACTCCTGGTGCAGCCAAAAGCAAAACAAGGGCACAGGAGTGAATTTCTCATCCTAGGCGTCTCCCTTAACGTTGCTAAGTGCCAACTGCGCTTGTCTATGCTGCCTCTTGAAAGCCCTTGTCCAGATCGTCTTCCGCTGAGATGTTCACTTACTCTGTTGCCCTTCTTCCGTGGGCGGCCTTCCACAACCAAGGTTGCTGATCTGGCTCTTTTGTGTTTCCTCAGGCAAAAGAGCCCTGGGAGATGAACACCCAAGAGAAGCTGGAGCAAGGCGGCATTGCGAAAGAAAAAGGCACCCAGTATTTCAAAGTAAGTGTCAAGGTCCCGACTGGTGATCCCAACGAAGTAAGCACTGCTGAGGCTTTCCAATCTCTAATGCAAAACTTTATTGAGTACACTATTTTGGCACAGATGACTAGAAAACCAGCTCTGGCTAATTGGTGCCAAATCAGTATATTAAAAGTATAGAAACTCCCCTCCCCACCGACAGCGCAGGTCACGTTCCCCAATTAAGCTTCAGACAATTATTATGAGAGTCTCCTTAATAAACAATCTTGAATGACCTTGTGTCGTGGTTCCCACAGATGAAACCCTTCAAAGAACTTCGAGGCATTGTTTACCTTAAAGAATCTTTATTGGAGTAGCATAGCATCGGCACTAACACAGTCGAAGCCAAAAATTGAATTCCCCTCCCCTGAGCCCATAGTATCAAAGCACAATTCCCTCCTCCAATTAACAGTCCTAAATCACATTCTCCAATTAGTTTGAAATGCAGGCTTTCCCTCCAGTTCTCCAGCCCCGCCAATTCTTTATCATCTCTTGTTTCAATAACCTTGGTTCTCACACTAGGTCCAGTATTGTTACGTCTAGCTAAACTCTCATGCACCTTCCTCCCCCCAGCATCATCTAGCTCTAACTCTTAAGAGTAACACCTAAGGAGAAGAAAAGGGTTGCATCTCCATCTGTTGTCAAAGCAAAAAATATCCGATGTTAGCAGCGTTGACACCTTGGTTCCCAGGCATCGCAGTTCAGCACCTGCAGCCCACATTCCACTCGTTCCCTCTCTCCCCCCCGGGGTCTGTAGACAACCTAAGAAACAGCCACGGCTGAAGCAACACACAGAATCAAAGTTTGTGATGAATATAGCCATTTTTGGCCCAGGCTTTAGACATAAGCAGTTGACAAGGAAAATAGGGCTGCCTGATCTGTTGAGTGCAAGGCCACGAGCGTTTTAAGAAAAGGAACGTTTCAGGAACTGTTCTAGAGCCCATTTGCAACGGCTCGAAGGCCCTTGTTTTCACAACTGTTCAATCAGCCACTATTGAATTCATGATGGGTTTGTGAATGTGGTGCACCTTCTGGGTGGAATCCCAAAGGTGGCTATTTTTCAGGAGGCAACTGGACTTTCTTGTTTTTTCTTTGAAGACGTTTCGCTTCTCATCCCAGAAGCTTCTTCAGCTCTAACTGGAGGGTGGGGAACGGAAGGATTTATATTCCTTGCAGACAGCTGGTCATTTGCCTTCTTTTAGAGAGTCATTGAGGCCACTTGGGGGTTTACCTGTGTCCTCAGGGTCACCTGAGTGGTGCAAATGGGTGTGGAGCCTTCTGGGAACTGCTGAAAGGGAGAATATATATACTCCTTGCAGAAAACTAGTCATTTGCCTTCTTTTAGAGAGCCGTTGAGGCCACTGGGAGGTTTATCTGTGTCATCAGTTGTCCCAAAGGTGCTTTTTCAGGAGGCAACTGGACTTCCTTGTTTTTTCTTTGAAGACGTTTCGCTTCTCATCCCAGAAGCTTCTTCAGCTCTGACCGGATGGTGGAGGAATAGAAGGATTTATACTCCTTGCAGAAAGCTGGTCGTTTGCCTTCTTATAGACAGTTGTTGAGGCCACTTGGAGGTTTACCTGCGTCCTCAGGGTCACCTGAGTGGTGCAAATGGATGTGGAGCCTTCTTGGCTGCAGGATGTTTTTTCTGCCCTGGGTCCCTTCCCTGTTGGAGACGGGCGCAGGCGGTTGGGGACGAGTCCATGTTGTCTGCATCTCAAACTGAAGCGCAGATGGTCTGCAATGTTTTCTGGAAACCCGTTCATCCTCCTGCACCCTTCGAAGGGAGTTCATCCCAAAGTGCCTAGCCAGATGTCCATGGAGGTTCTCCATCCTCCAGAGGTTGTCCCAGAGGTGCTTTTTTCAGGAAGCAACTGGCCTTTCTTGTCTTCTTTGAAGACATTTCACTTCTCATCCAAGAAGCTTCTTCAGATCATTCCCCACCATCCCGTCATGGTGGATGGATGAGAAGCGCAATGTCCTCAAAAGAAAAACAAGAAAGTCCAGTTGCCTCCTGAAAAAAGCACCTGTGGGACAACCCTGACCTGGATAGACTGAGTATCCCCACGGACACCTTCTTGGTTGGACGTTTGGCTTTTGGTCTCCTTTGAATCTCACCCCAGGCCTTGTTTTTCCAGGATGGGAAATACAAACGCGCCACGTTACAGTACAAGAAAACCGTATCCTGGCTGGAGCACGAAACCGGCCTGTCGGATATGGAGAAGACAAAATCCAGGAACTTGAGGCTGGCCGCCCATCTCAACTTGGCCATGTGCCATTTAAAGCTGAAGGAGTATGCCCAGGTCTTGGAAAACTGCAATAAGGTAAAGGACGTTGCTCTTTGGGGGGTGTCCAGGTGTGACATTCATTCACTCCCTCGCGGTTGGTCTCCTGGAGCAACTCCGAAACCGTTGCTGCCCCGTTTGCCGTGGGTTGGGCCTTTGAGGGTCTGGAAAGAACACAACCAGATGTCCTAAATCATTTGCAGGCCCTGGAACTGGACAGCAACAACGAGAAGGGTCTCTTCCGGCGAGGGGAGGCTCGGCTGGCCGTCAACGACTTTGAGCTAGCCAGGGCAGATTTCCAGAAGGTGCTACAGCTCTACCCAAGCAACAAGGCAGCCAAAGCCCAACTCATGATCTGCCAGCAAAAGATCCGCGAGCAGCACGAAAGAGAGAAGAAAATGTACGCCAACATGTTCCAGAGACTGGCAGACAAAGAAACCAAGGTTAGTCTGCTCTTTGGAGTGAGCAGAGGAGCCCTGGGGGGCGCAGGGGTTAGAAAGCAGCGTTGCAGGCTGACTCTGCCCACTGCCAGCAGTTCGATCCTGACCGGCTCAAGGTTGACTCAGCCTTCCGTCTTTCCGAGGTCGGTAAAACGAGGACCCGGATTGTTGGGGGCAAGAGGCTGACTCTGTAAACCTCTTAGAGAGGGCGATAAAGCACTCTGAAGCAGTATATAAGTCTTAAGTGCTATTGTTCCTCCCTCCCACCATGGTGGCACAGTGGCTAGAATGCAGTATTGCAGGCTAACTCTGCCCACTGCCAGGAGTTCGATCCTGACCGGCTCAAGGTTGAGTCAGCCTTCCATCCTTCCAAGGTTGATAAAATGAGGACCCAGTTTGTTGGGGGTCCTTCCTTCCTTCTCTCCCTCCCTCCCTTCCTTCCTTCCCCCTTCCTTCCTCCCTGCCCCCCGACACCTGCCTCGCCTCGCGGCGGTGGCACCGACAGGCCCTCTAGCAGGAGTCCGTGTGGCTGACAGCCCACTTCTGCATCTGAATGTGGCAGAAAGCCACCTGGCCCGCCGGCCGTCCCGCCACCACAAGGCCAGGCAGGTGGAGGAAGGGTTGGAGCCGTCCGCTAGGCGCCCAAACACTTCGCCCAGACGGAGAAACGACGGAGACGGGAAGCTCCGTCTGCTCGCAAATGGGGCGCTTGGTGACGGAGCGAATCGCTCGGCTTCTGAGCGCCCCATTTGCAAGCGGAAGAAGCTTCCAGTCTCCCTCTGGGCGAAAAGTGTTTTGGGCGCGTCCAGATCGCCTGCCTTCCCCCCCCCCCGCCTCTGCCTTCGCTCTCGGACTTACCTGCACTGCGCCAAGGGGTCGGCGGGCTGTGGCTGCTGCCGGACACCGTCGGCCTCCCTCCGTGCCCTCGCTGCCACTTGTGCTGGCCACGTTGCCCCCGTCCCGGGGCTTATTTTAGGGGTAGGACCTATATTAGTCCCACCCCAAAAAGTCAGGCTAGGGCTTATTTTTTGGGTGGGTCTTATTTTCAGGGAAATAAATAAATAAACACGGTACCGGGGTGTGTGTGTGTGTGAGGTAGCTGTCCTCTTGTGCCTTCCGCCATCGAAAGGAGAAAACTCTCCATGGTGTATCTCAAGTAACTGCGGGAGTAGTCAAGTCCCGTGACTACTCCCACGTTAAGGTCTGACGTTACACCTTGGTCCCGACGGCGAAGTCTGGTTTTTGTCAGCTGGCTGTTCCTTCTAGTGGCTCCCTCGGCGTTGACTTTGCTACCTTCCCTTTCCGTTTTGCGTTGTGTCCCAAGCCCCGAGGCCCTCCGTGTTTACACTGGCCACCGCTTCTCCGCCATGCCTTGCTTGCAAAAGGACCAGCCCGCCCATCAAAACGACGGCCTAAGTTGCAGAGGTCGTCTGCCCTGCTGGTTAATCGATAAGCTACTTTAATCAATTAACCCCCCACCCCCCTGTGACGCACAGGAGGTGCAAAGAGGTCAAAAACAGCGGCCTTTTCTGTAACGTCGCGCGCAGGACGGTGCAGGGACGACCCCCGCGGAGGATCCAAAGCCCCCCGAAAAGCTGCTTTGGCGCGGTCGTGTGTACCCGTCACACTTGTCGGGGGGGTCTTCTGAACAAAGTTGCCTCTTTTCCTGGCCTGGTACCGTAGCTTTGTAATCTCAGGAAAGCAGCCTCTGTGTCTAGGGGTGGAGTCCCTGAACAGGAGTGAGTGAACACACACACACACACAAACACACCAGTTCCAAATGAAGAGAGAGAGAAAAAAAAGACTTCTCATTTCGGGTTTCTCTCCCTAACGCTTTTTCTCCAGCTGGGAGCCGACCCCGGGTGCAAAGAAGAGGCGGAGCTGAAAGAGGGCAAGCAGAACGGCGTGGAGGAGAAAACAGAAGTCGACATAGAGATTTGAGGCCGAAGGTCGAGCCGTTAGTTTTTCTAAAACTGAAGAATTTCCAGTGATCTAGACCTTTATTTTTCTATCTGATTATTCAGTCGGGGGGGCGGGGGGGGGCAACGGCTGGGGGCTGTTTAGTGTCTCTCTCTCTCTCTCTCTCTCTCTCTTAGGGAACGGTGGCAGAGCAGGGCCAAGTAACGTTTGATGTGTTATTTATTCGGTCATGCATCCTTAACTCTCTTGTGGTTGTTGATTCTCGGAAGTTCCGTTCGGGTCCCTTCTCTTTTGAGTTTTCCTCTCCTCCCTGGCAATCTTTCTCAGGGTCCCAGCTTGGCCTAATCCAATTTCACATTTTACTCCCTTCCCCTCCTTTACTCGCCCCCCTCCCCCATTTTTAAAGAAAGTTTTATCTGCACATGCACACAGCTACTGCATGAGGGGCCTAAGCGCACAACAGCTCCCTTCTGCGGTCTCTCCCTCTCTCTCCCCCTCCCTCTCCTGTCTATCTACAATCTCTCTCTCTCTCTCTCTCCTGTCTATCTACAATATCTGTCTATCTCTCTTTCTCTCTCTCTCTCTCTCTCTCTCTCTCTCCCTCCTATCTAAAATATCTATCACTATTTCTCTCTCTCTCTCTCTCTCTCTCTCCTGTCTATCTACAATATGTTTATCATTCTCTCTCTCTCTCCTCCCTCCTATCAATCTAAAATATCTGTTTATCACTATCTGTTTCTCTCTCTCTCTCCCTCCCTCTCCTGTCTATCTACAATATCTGTCTATCACTGTCTTATCTATTTCTCTCTCTCTCTCCCTCCTCCCTCCTGTCTATCTAAAATATCTGTTTATCACTATTTCTTTCTCTCTCTCTCTCTCTGTCTATCTACAATGTTTATCATTCTCTCTCTCTCTCTCCTCCCTCCTGTCTATCTAAAATATCTGTTTATCACTATCTATTTCTCTCTCTCTCTCTCTCTCTCTCTCTCTCTCTCTCTCTCTCTCTCTCTCTCGTCTGTCGATGTGGATTCTCATCTGTTCTGGACAGGGACTGCCATCCCTCCTTGCGAGGGCTCCTCTTTTGCAGGCTGCACAAGAGGAAGGGAACGAGACCGCCAAACCTGGAGCAGGGAACTGCCCAAACAGTCTGTAAGGTCGTAGCCCTCGGCCTGCAAATGCAGATACTCAAACATCAGCCGGACCAGAGTCACCTTTGGCGAGAGACCAGTCGGATAAATTGACTCTCCCGCCTGGGGCCTCAACCAGCAGGAGCTTTGGAATAAAGGGGCAATACCAAAGTGCAGATAAACAACATCGGGCCCAGACATTGTTGCAGGTCACAAAGCCTTGCTGCGCTGATGTTCCCCCTATTTTGGGGGGGTGGAGGAGGCCACCCACAGGCCATAAGCCTGCAAACATCTGCCAGTCACAGGACACTTTTCTGCGCCGCCCGTTGGAACCTGCATCGGGTCAGGAATGCGTGTCTTAACGGGACCCTCGTCACAAAGATAGATTCCCCCCCCCATTAGGCCTTTTGCCCAGTTCCACAACTCCCGTGGATGCCTGCCCACAGCTCTCACACCAACAGTTCGAGGTTTTGCTGTTGTCCAGCCAGGTGGGAGAAAGGCAGATCAGAAATCCAGCAGCTCAAGAAGTCACAAAGAGGGGGGGGCGGTTTAAAAAAAAATCGATTTGTTGGAATAAAAGCCTAACGCGGGTCGAGGGATGGAGCGCCAAGATAATATTTTAGATATCTGATCGGAGCTGATGGGTGGGACAGCAGGACCGGAATTGACAACGTCCAGCTCAGTTGGGCTCTTGGGAAAGTGGGACGTTGGCGCCTCAAGACATAATTGGGAAGAAGTGCGTTAAATCCCGGGAGCCTGGCACCCCGCGCAGAAATCTCCGATTTCTTCGGGCGCCTGCGCTCGCTGGAGGTTCGAAGGACGCCTTCCAAATTGCCATTGCTCCACCGAGTAAGGCTGAAAGGGGATGTGTGTGTGTGGGTGGACCACCCAAGGGCCGAGCTCTGGATGTTGACGACCTCAAGAATAGATCGCAACCCATCCGCGCATTTAGAAATGGCCACGAGCCGTGAGGCCCCAGGCAGTCGAGAGGGAGACGTTAAGACCAGGGGTAGTCAACCTTGGCTCTTTTATGACTCGTGGACTTCAACTCCCAGAATTCCTGAGCCAGCATGGCTGGCTCAGGAATTCTGGGAGTTGAAGTCCACGAGTCATAAAAGAGCCAAGGTTGACTACCCCTGCGTTAGAAAGACAGACAGACGGACTGACCCGAAGGCTGTGTGCATAAGTGGCGGTGGCTTCTGAAAGGAAAGCAGACGCAAACGGAGTCATTTCATAATTGGCTTTTTAAAGCGAATGCAACACTGCTCTGTTTTGCCCATTTATGCAGATTAAAACTATATATAATCTCTGCCGCGTTGTGATGTGGTTACTGGGGTGGGAAGGTACGGCTTTTGAAACGGTTCTCCGTCAATTTAGTCGCCGAGGAAAAAAAAACAACCGAAGGGTTCCCTTCTCTTTTTAAGGTGCGATTGCACCCGGTTGCAAGCACGCCCGTGGATGCAGGGGACCTACGCTCAATAGGGCGCTCCTGTAGCTTCTTGGGAAAATTGGACATTGGCGCCTCAGAGATAATTGGGAAGAAGTGGTTAAGGCAGGCCAGATTTGAGTCTTAGTTGGAGAGGTCCGGGCTGCAAGCAACGCCCTGGAAGCGATCCCGAGACTACACCAGGAGTAAGGTGTTTGCCCGGGGTGCCATCCGCCTCTTGAAAGAGCCGCTGGCCTTACAGAGTCTTAATTGGCAATCAAGCATCGTTTAGTAACTTTTGCCTTGCATCCGCAATAAATACTAACATTTCAACTCTGCTTTTCATGTTCTCTGCGAAGCGCGAAGGGGTTGCAACTAAATTCCCCGTGTTTCGAGTAAAAACTCTTCCGAGGAACAAACTCTCGGGTTACACTCCCCACACAATCCCTCTGGAGAAACCCATAGCCTGAAGGAAGGTCCCACGTGCTGCCTCAGTTCCCCAAACCACCTCTGTGGCTCTGGGAACGAGGTACATTATCCTCAAAGTCAGCTGTGGGCCCCGGGTGCTCAAGACGCCGAGGGGGGGGAGGGACCCTCTTCCCGGGGCGATCCCGAGGAGGCCGTGAAGGATCTACCTTCCCACCATCATGGTGTTTGTCATTTCCTCTCCCTTGTGGGTACCGTGTCTTGTTTTTTTTTTCCAGGGTGCTTCCACAAAAAAGAAGGGGGGGGGTCAACTTATTTTCCAAAGCAACTGAAGGGAAGAACAAGAAGCAAAGGGTGGAAACTCATCCAGGAGAGAAGCAACCTGGAATGAAAGGAGAAACTTCCTAACAGGGAGGACAATCAACCAGTGGAACAGCTCTGCCTCCAGAAGTTGTGGGTTCTTCATCGCTGGAAGTTTTCAAGGAAGAGACTAGAACAGCCACTTGGCAGAGGGTCTCCTGCTTAAGCAGAAGGCTGGACTAGATGACCTACAAGGTCCCTTCCAACTCTTGTTAGTCTGTATTCTGGGCACGAGGTATCCAAAACTACAAGGAGCTGATCAGAGTGGCTGTTGCATTGTGATTTAGGAAAGTAGAACCCAGAGACCAACGGGCTGAGGATGGTCTCAACGTATGCTGATCCTCAGTCCACTTTCTCTCCCAGGAGCCTCCCTTCTCCATCAACCCAGTTTGGGGGCCTCCAGACATTCCCCCAGAGTAGATCCCAGGCGCCAGAGGCCCCATCCAGCTGCTGAAGCACCACCCGTATTGGTTCTTCCTTGGGTGCCAAGCATCTCTGGCTTCTTACAGCCTAACAGAGTCGGAAGGGACCTTGTAGGTCATCTAGTCCAACCCCCTATTCAAGCAGGAGACCCTCTACCATTTCTGTCAAGTGGCTGCTCTGGTCTCTTCTTGAAAGCTTCCGGATGGAGCATCCACGACATCCGATTGTTCTCACTGTCAGAAAATTTCTCCTCCTCGTTTCTAGGTTGATTCTCTCCTCGACCAGTTTCCACCCATCGTTCCTTGTCCGGCCTTTTGGGCGCTTTGGAAAATAGCTTGTTCCCCCCCCCCTTCCTCTCTGTGGCAGCCCCTCAAATATTGGAAGACCGCTGTCCTTCTGGTACGGGAAGCAATATCTTGAATGACGGGAAGGTTACGGATTGAACGAGAAGGCTCTTTGTTGCCAGAGTTTTCTTTATTGAAGCTTTTCTTCAAAGGGGAAGAAAATTAAGCCGTAACAAAACAAGGTTAATCCCAACGATTCATTTACACATCGACACGGACACATCGGCGTATTCAACCCGGTGCTTTTCGACGGGCAATTGAACTTCACCGTGGATGCGGCGTGCCGTAAACCTCTGAGCTTTTTAGAGTCACTGAGGCTGCTGGCCGTAAGCTTTCTATCGTAAGCTGCTCGTTCCTGATTATGCCCTGGCAGGACTGGAACACAGGGCCCCAACAAGGAGAATCGGTCCGAACGAGCCTGGCGAAGCGTATATACCAAGAGTGCTGCAGACGGAGTTCCGGGGCCGTGAGAAGCCGCGCTGTGACTATGGAGCTGCTTTCTTGGGGCAGTATAAGGTCTTGTGAATCAGATCTCTGACGGCGGAAACGTCATCTTTAGCTATGAAAAAGAGTTAGATAAATACGGTTACTTAATAGATATGCCCTGTGCACCAAATCTAGGAAAAGTGTAGGTAGTCCTCGGCTTACAACGGTGACCGCTCAAAATTAACAACGGCACTGAAAATAGCGACTTAACGACCGTTTTTTCACACATGCAGCAGCACCCCGATGGTCACGTGATCAAAATTCAGAGGCTCGGCAACTGGCATGTGCTTCTGCCAGTTGCAGCGTCCCGGGATCACGTGACCTTTTGCGACGACCTGACAAGCGGAGTCTACGGGGGAAACTGGATTCATTTAACAACCGTGTTACTAATTTTAACAATGGCAGTGATTCATTTAAGAACGGTGGCGAGAAAGGTCCATCAACTGGGACAAGGCTCGCTTCACGACTCTTCTCACTTAGCGACAGAAAGTTTGGGCCTAACTCTGGTCGTTAAGTGGAGAACTACCTGGAGTAACGTACCATCTCTTTCCACAAAGAGGGAAGGTGGGACGGGACCGAACGGGGAGATTCGCCATTTACAGGCTCCTGGTGGCATCAGGTGAACAGATTCCCACGGATTTCTCCAGCATCTGGAGATCCATGCTTGGATCAATTCAAAGATCTAGCGGATCACTGTCCCAGGATGCCCACCAGTGTTTTTCACTGAAGAATAACCAGAATCTTCCTACCGCATTAATCCATCGGAAGCGAACGAGGGCCATAATAAAAACTATTAGCTTAAATATGAGATAATAGACACCAAAAGAGAGTAAGTATTAAATGTTGAAATGAGAGACATTTTGGTTGACTAAGTTTAAGATTTTGGGAAATTAACAGAAAAAATAAGAACGTTATACTGCATTATTAATTAGTTGATGTACGATGGTGAGAAATAGAATATATTCAAAGAGATAAAGACGTATATCCTGAACATTAGATCTCGGGATGAATTGTGATAAAAGGGAACGGGGGTTATCTAAAACTTGGAAATGATAAATATTAAATATAAATATTAATGGGAAACTAAAAATTGGGGAAAACTAATTAGGACAGTGATTGTCTCTATAAAGATGGAATAGTTAAAATAGCTAGGATATGTATAAACTAAAAATTATTGATCAATGTGAGAAAGTTATCTTTACTTAATTGATATAATAAGAATTGTTATTAGTTTAAATAGGAGGCAGTAAATACTAAGGGGAAAAGAGAGGAAACATTTAATGCAACAGTTTGAGATCTGTACTAAAGATACTTGTATGTTATGGAACTATCGATTAACTCAGCCGCCACGTTGCTTTTTAAATATTTAAATGTAAAACTAGAAAATCAATAACCTTTTCTTAAAAAAAAAAAAAAAGAAATTGAACGAGGGCTAGTGTCTTGACAATTAGGGATAGTAACGTCTAAATAAGGATGGTGACAGTAAAACTGAACTAAAGAAAAAAAATTAAAATTAAAAGGTCCCTTTCTCCATCACGAAGTAACCCTGCCTCACAAAGGTTGAAAAGTTGATAATAATCAAGTTGGAAGGGACCTTGGAGGTCATCTAGTCCAACCCCCTGCTCAGGCAGGAAACCCTATACCATTTCAGACTATTTAAGGGGAAGAAACGGAAGGGCTGACACCACAGAGACCTTCATGGTCCAAGAAAGCAGCATTCAAGGACGAGGTTGATACACACTCTTCAGTTAGACCTGCGATGGTTGAGGTCACAATCCTTGGACCGCTCTGATCCTAGTGGAATAATCCCTGAAACCTGGATAGTTGCTCAATGAAACCCTTGGCAGAAGCCACAAAGGAACCTACCGACATCCAGCTGAAGCAGCAGCTCTCGGCCTTCCGAATGATTTTGCAGCATCTTCATCAAATTGGTGGACTCCATCCTTTCCAACTGGATGTCCCAGTAGATGTAGATCTTCTGGTTGAAACTGACGTAGACCAGGCAAGGGCTGTTGTGGCCTCCTTTGCAAGAATAGAAGCCTGGAGGAACAACGACACCGTGATTGGGTCAAGAACAGTGGTTCTCAACCTTTTTAATGCCGCGACCCCCAACCGGTCGTAAGTCAAGGACTAAACCAGTCATAAGTCGAGGACTACCCAACCGGTTGTAAGTCGAGGACTTTCCCTGCCCGGGAGCGCTGCGCATGCGCGGTTCCGCCCCCTGCGCCGGCTGAGGCATAGCTGGCAAGCGGCAGAGACAGAGCAGGCCGACCACCAGCTGGCCCAGCCCAAGGGAGGTAAGGCACCCGCCTGAAAAGGGGAAAAAAATGGCGGACAGCCTTGCTTGGCGACCCCCGTGAAATGGTCGATCGACCCCAAATGCGGTCGCAACCCATAGGTTGAGAACCGCTGGTCAAGAACAAAAGCAAAGCACAAAGGAGGAACGGCGGCCAAAATCGGGAGGCAAAACGTTCGACGGTCAGGCGCGGGGACCGGGCGCGGTCTGCAGCCCAGGGGTTGGGGAGCCTCTCGAGTTAGAAAATGACCAGGGGCATTTGGCTCACCGGCGCAGAAGGCGCTCACGTTTTCGTCGACTTGAAACCTGGCCACGGTCCGGTTGTGATCGATGATGTACGTCTGTCCGTCCCACGCGCAAGCGATCACCTCCTCGTAACCGTTTCCCTGAGGGCGGAAAGCTTTCTTAGGAAGAAGGCGCCTGTCGGAACGGCAGCCACGCGGTCTCTCTCGCTCCCTGCCTACAGCACCCGAGTCGGAGAGCGCAACCAGGGCCGCAAAAGAATATAAAAAGGCTACAACGATGGCAAGTTAGAGCAGGGCTTTTCAACCTTTTCACCCATTGTACCACTTTTAGGATATAGCAACATCCAAGTGCCACCAGTCGCCTAGCAAGGTGTCAAAAACTTGACCAAAAAAAATATAAAAAAAATAAAATAAAATAAGGTACAGGTAGTCCTTGACTTACAACAGTTCGCTTAGTGACTGTTCGAAGTTACAATGGCACTGAAAAAAGTGCCCCCCAAGCCACAGCCGAGCAAGACGCCTGCCTGCCCACCTGGCGGCGCTCTTCCTCCTGTCCGAGGTTTTCATTGTTGTGAGCATTTCTGTTGAGGATTGGCAGCAGGGGTGGGGTGGGGGGTGTTTGGTTTTTATTCCCCCCATCTGCTGGGTGGCTGCAGCAGGTTTCGGTCACTTCACATGACCCTGGGACACTGTGACCGTCATAAATATGAATCAGTTGCCAAGCATCTGAATGTAAATCACAAGACCCTGGAGAGGCTGCAACATTCCAGCTGATCGGCGCTTCTTCTGGGCTCAGCAGAAGCGCCAGGATCAGTGCCGAGATCCAGCTGGATCCTGGCGCTGATCCTGGCGCTTCCACTGAGCCCTGACAGCCCTGCAGCTCCAGCCGTCTCTCGCTCAGGCTTGTGCAGTGCTGCCACCGGTTCAGCTCATTCCCCTCCCCCACTACCACTTTTCTTGGATGGTCGCGTACCACCTGCCAGGTGCCAATGTACCACAGGTGGTACCCGTACCACTGGTTGAAAAGCCCTGGACTAGAACTTTATAAAGGCTTTTCTTTTGATCTCTCACCAGGAGATGCTTCTCTGGGACGCCTTCTGTGTCTGGACACATCTCTTTGCCCCAAGTGCAGTTAGCTAGGTGGAAACGTACCGTGACATCCCAAAGGGGCTTTTTTTCAGGAGGCAACTGGACTTTCTTGTTTTTCTTGGAAGACGTTTCGCTTCTCATCCCAGAAGCTTCTTCAGCTGTGACTGGATGGTGGAGGAATGGAAGGATTTATACTCCTTGCAGACAGCTGGTCATTTGCCTCCTTTTAGAGGGTCGTTGAGGCCACTTGGAGGTTTGTCTGTGTCCTCAGGCTCACCTGAGTGGTGCAAATGGGCGTGGAGCCTTCTTGGAACTGTTGAAAGGACTGTGTGGTAGACTGGAGATAGATGATGTCCTATCCCTCCCCCTCTGTTGAGGGAGGGCTGTTAAGTTTTTACCTAGATGGCCTCTTTGACCCCTCTTTCAAACCAGCGGTCCTCCCTGTCCAAAATGTGGACTTTGCTGTCTTCAAAAGAGTGACCTTTGTCAAAACTGAGCAGCTCTCCCTCAACAGAAGGGGAGGGACAGGACATCATCCACCTCCAGTCTACAACACACAGTCCTTTCAGCAGTTCCCAGAAGGCTCCACACCCATTTGTACCGCTCAGGTTGACCCTGAGGGCACAGACAAAGCTCCAAGTGGCCTCAACGACTCTCTCAAAGGATGCAAATGACTCCTTCCGTAATCCTTCCATTCCCACCATCCGGTCAGAGCCGAAGAAGCTTCCGGGATGAGAAGCGAAAGGTCTTCGGAGAAAAACAGGGAAGTCCAGTAGCCTCCTGAAAAAAGCCCCTTTGGGGGACAAGCATGACCTGGATGATTGAGAATCTCCGTGGATATTTACCGTGACATCCAGTTTTTCAAGAGCAAAAAGTTGATGGTCCACTTGGACAGACCACAGCAGCTTGTCGGCCCCCTCCATGAGCTTCAAGGTTCCTTGAAGGAAGGAAGGAAGGAAGGAAGGAAGGAAGGATGGATTAATAGCAACTCAGATGTTCTCTGAGGGGTCCTCCGGAGGAGTGGGTCCAAGCAAGGCTGGTCCCCAGGATCTTAAAGTTTTTAAACACTTTGTAGGTTGCTATGGCAATGCCAAGTGACATTCTGAGGGATAGGACATGTTATATAAAGGAATGCAAATTCAACACCTTTTTCATCTTTCGGGACATTTCAGTTTCTTCGGGAATCTCAAAATCTACTTCTACAATTGCAGTTTGGCCTTAGAACATGAGGGAAGAAAACAGAAAAAATTGTGTGCATGTTAAGCTTAGGCAAGTGAAGAAAAAAAACAACGGCTCATGTACGGGCATAATTCGACCACTGTGGGTTGAGAAAACTGTTGACGTCTTCAGCAAAATCCCATTTTTTACTTTCAGTTTTGGAAAAGTCTCGTTACGGGGACAGTTTTGATTACGGGAGCAACTTGACTGCGATTGCAGCGACAATCTGAAAAGCTTCTTAGGATACAGCCCCATCTCTCTCCCCCCCCCCCCCCCCCCCCCCCCCCCCCCCCCCCCCGTCTCCATCCTCCTTCCAAGAAAATCAAGACTTACCATCTAAAGTGCAGAGGGCAAACAGACCCAGGCCTTTGGGCTCCTTCGAGCGACCTGCAGAGACAAAATGCAAGAGGCCAGTTAGGAAAGTGCTCCTGCTTTGGAGGGAAATTCCTTGTGTGTCCAATCACACTTGGCCAATAAAGAATATTCTCTTCTCTTCTCTTCCCTTCCATTATTTCAATATATTCTATTCTACTCTGTTCTACTCTATTCTATTCTTTCTATATATTCTATTTCCACTGCGTTCCACTCCATATTCTGTTCTGTTCTATTCTTTCAATATATTCTATTCTATTTCCATTGCATTCCACTCAATATTCTATTCTATTCCATTCTTATATTCTTCCTATTCCATTCCATTCCAATATATTCTATTCTATTCTATTCTTTTAATATATCCTATTCTATTCTATTTCCATTGCATTCCGCTCCATATTCTATTCTATTTCAATCTATCCTATTCCATTCCATTCCAATATATTTTATTCTATTCTATTATTCTATTCTATTCTTTCAATATATTCTATTTCCATTGCATTCCACTCCATATTCTATTCTGTTCTATTCTATTCTATTCTCTCTTCTTATTCTATTCTATTCTATTCTCTCTTCTTTTTCTATTCTGTTCTGTTCTATTCTTTTAATATATCCTATTCTATTCTATTTCCATTGCATTCCGCTCCATATTCTATTCTATTTCAATCTATCCTATTCCATTTTATTCCATTCCATTCCAATATATTCTATTCTATTCTATTCTGTTCTGTTTCAATCTATTCTATTCCACTCCATTCCATTCTGAAAGGGCAGGTAAATGACAGCTGGCTGGAGAATTCTGGCAGTTGAAAGTCCACAGGCCCTAAAGTTGCCAAGTTCGGAGACACCACGGAGCGGTGAAGCTTGCACGTTTCATTTCTCTGGAAATCCAGTATATTTTCTAATTTTTATTTTTATTTTTTGGCTACCACTGGAATGTTTGCCGCTTACCTCTGCCAATGGTTCCAATAAGATGAGTGGAAACATTCTTGTTGTGAATTCTGCCTGATGTCTGGTGAAGAATGACGTCCCGGATGGAGCTTTCCCTAGAGAGGAGTCAAGAAATGCAGAATGTTTTAACGTGGGAGTCTCTCGTGGTTTTGGGGTCCTGGTGGGAAGAGGACCTGGGGCGGTTGGCGCCTCCTTCAAAGAAGCCACGCGTTTTCCTGGTTTGAAACAGGGATCGGCGCTTCGGTTAAGCGGGTGCCGACAGGACGGGACGAGTTCCGATTCGGGGGCGCGAGAATAAAATGCAGGTCGTGGGAAACCGTAATGCGGGAAGACCGAAGCGATTGTGGGCCGCACGATCGCCAGCAGAGGTCAACGGCTGGACACATCCCTGGAGGTGATTCCGCTGGAATTCTGGGTTGCCTCACCTGTTGGATGCAGACCCGTCCGAGGCCTCTGGGGGAGGCTGCGGCTCTTGTCTCCAGGTGCAGAGTAAGACCGCGTAACCACAGCCTGGCTGGGACACCATCATCTTGGGAGAGCCGTCGGCATCGGGGTTGACCGAGAGGCTGTCCACCTGCTCTCACCGAGGAGAAGAATCGAGGCTCATCAGCTCAGAGGGCTTGCACTGCTGCTATTGCCACCATTACTGTCCCATGCTCTGCCCTTTAGTCCCTCCCTCTCCTCTCCCCTCCCCTCCTCCTTTGCTTCCTTCCTTCCTTCCTCCTTCCCTTTTCTTTCTTCCTTGCTTCCTCCTTCCCTCATTCTTTGCTTGCTTCCTTCCCTCCTCCCCTTCCTTCCTTTCCTTTTTTCTCCCTTTTCCTTCCCTCCTCCCCTCCCCTCATTCTTTGCTTGCTTCCTCCCCTCCTCCCCTTCCTTCCTCTCCTCTCCTTCCCTTCCTTTTTTCTTTTTCCCTCCCTCCCTCCCCTCTTTCTTTGCTTGCTTCCTTCCCTTTTCTTTCTTGCTTCCTCCTTTCCTTCCCTCCTCCCTCCCCTCATTCTTTGCTTGCTTCCTTCCCTTCTTTCCTCACCTCTCCTTCCTTCTTTTTTCTTCCTTCCTTCCCTCCTCCCTCCCATTCTGTGCCTGCTTCCTTCCCTTCCTCCCTTCTTCCCTTTTCTTTCTTCCTCCTTTCCTCCCCTCCTCCCTCTCATCATTCTTTGCTTGCTTCCTTCCCTCCTCCTTCCTTTCCTCCCTTCTTCCCCTCTCCTTCCCTTCCCTTTTCTTTCTTCCTTTCTTCCTCCCTCCCTTCCTTTTTCCCCTCCCTTCCTTCTCCTTATGCACCATTTAAACCCACCCTCATTATGGAGGAGTTAACTTTTGTTCCTTTCTCTTGACGGCTCTATGTCTTTTGATATCAGTTGCCACAGAAAAGAGGGGGGGGGGGTTTCAACTTATTCTCCAAGGCGCCTGAAGGCAGGACAAGAAGCAACAGATGGAAACTGATCAAGGAGAGAAGCAACCTAGAACTAAGGAGAAACTTCCTGACAGTGAGAACAATTAACCAGTGGAACAACCTGCCTCCAGAAGCGGTGAATGCTCCAACACTGGAAGTTTTTTAAGACGAGACTGGACAGCCACCTGTCTGAAATGGTATAGGGTCTCCTGCTTGAGCAGGGGGTTGGACTAGAAGACCTCCAAGGTCCCTTCCAGATTCTATTCTGAATCGAATCGTAGGTCAGAGTCTTTATACTTCCTGCTCAATGTTGGGGACGTTCTTTCGGCGATAGAATTACAGATGGAATGTGACAGAGGTTGAAGGAAAGAAGGCAACAGCTGCATAGCTAGCTATGGTGCCCTTGTCCCGTTCCCCGGATGTATTGATTTGTGGAACGTCTAGGCCGTCTCGCTCTCCTCGTGTCCTACCTGTCCTTCCAGCAGCCATTTCTTCAGCAGCACCAGCTGTCCAGAGATGTGGTCAGGACCCTCGGACGAGTCCTCCCAGCGAAAGGCTCGGACAACCCGGTCCGTGTAGCCTATCACCAATTCATTTTTTCCATCTCCATCTGCGGAGGACGCAAAAGCCGGCTCATGTTCGTATCGCGGAAGAACAAACGGCAGACCATCAAGAAGGAACGAAAAGAACCCCTCCTGCTCGTTTCAAAACATCGTACGAATGCCCCTTCCTCCAATGACCCCTTCTTTTTAAATCAATGCCCTAAGACGGGGGTCCCCAACCCCCCCGGTCCGTGGACCGGTACCGGTCCGCACAAACCAGCAAAGTCCCATCCGCGGGATGCATGCAACACACGAAACCACGTCCCCTCCGGTCTGCGGAAAAACCTCTCTCCACGGAACCGGTCCCTGGTGCCCAAAATGTTTGTTTGTGGGGGGCCCCTCTGGCCTAATAAGACCCTGATTTGTTTCCAAAATCTTCCTATAAGGCAGAACAAAATAAAAATAAATAAAGATCTTTCTTGCAGGAAAAGGACGTGTTTCTGCAGCCGATGTGCTCCATTTTATTCCAAAAGGTTCAAACCGATTCTGAAGGCAGTTGAGCAAACTATGCTTTAATTTTCTTTTAAAGGACTCAAATTAAAAGCTACGTTGCTAAACTGTCATTCGTAAGTTTTGTTCTACTGGTCAAGAGTTCAGCATCATTTTTCTCCTCCTCCTCCTCCTCCTCCTCCCATTTCGACTTATCCTCATGAACATATAACATATAAACATATAAGGAACGGTTGATGGAATTGGGTAAGTCTAGTTTAATGACGAGAAGGACGAGGGGGGACATGATAGCAGCGTTCCAATATCTCAGGGGCTGCCCCAAAGAAGAGGCAGTCAAGCTATTCTCCAAAGCACCTGAAGGCAGGACAAGAAGCAACGGGTAGAAACTAACCAAGGAGAGAAGCAACCTAGAACTAAGGAGAAACTTCCTGACAATGGGAACAGTTAACCAGTGGAACAACCTGCCTCCAGAAGCGGTGAATACTCCAACACTGGAAGTTTTTAAGAAGAGACTGGACAGCCATTTGTCCGAAATGGTGTAGGGTTTCCTGCCTGAGCAGGGGGTTGGACTCGATGACCTCCAAGGTCCCTTCCAACTTTATTATTATTATAATTATAATTATAATTATAATTATTATAATTATTATTATTGTCATCATCATCAATCATCATCATCATCATCATTATTATATTATTATTATTAACCTGCACAACTTCTCCCATGGGCCTGTGACTGATCCTTAAGCTTTGGAACGCTGCTTCTGTTGAAAGGGAACGTCCACTTACCAATGTCGTTAATCAGCATAACTTTGGTGTTGGCTGGGATGTGCTGCTTAAAGGCCAGCTTGGGGTCGTCTGAGGTCAGGAGCTCGTGGTGACCCGGGGCATCCCCGTGCTTGGAGGGAGAGGTGACGTCAAAGAGGTGGAACCAGCCTTCCGCACTCACCGCCACCACCAAATTCTGTCAAAGAAAAGTCTGAGTAAGTAAAGGGGGTAGCCAGCTGGGCTCAGCCTTGGTTGAGTAAGTGGAGCTTTTCTCCCAAAGGTGCTTTTTTTCAAGAGGCAACTGGACTTTCTTGTTTTTCCTTGAAGACGTTTCGCTTCTCGTCCCAGAAGCTTCTTCAGCTCTGACTGGAGGGTGGAGGAATGGAAAGATTTATACTCCTTGCAGACAGCTGGTCGTTTGCATCCTTTTAGAGGGTCGTTGGGGCCACTTGGAGGTTTGTCTGTGTCCTCAGGGTCCAACGACTCTCTAAAAAAAATGCAAATGACCAGCTGTCTGCAAGGAGTATAAGTCCTTCCGTTCCCCACCATCCAATCAGAGCCGAAGAAGCTTCTGGGATGAGAAGCGAAATATCTTCACAAAGAAAAACCAGAAAGTCCAGTTGCCTCCTGAAAAAGCATCTTTGGGAGAAGGATGGAAGAGGAGGAGGAGGAAGATGGGAGGAAAAGAAGGAGAAGGATAGGAGAGAAAGAGACAGAGAAAGAAAGAAAAAGAAAGAGGAGGAGGTGAAGGATAAGGGAAAGGGAAAGAAAGAGGAAGAAGGAAGAGGCCTTTTCAAAAGGCCTCAACGACCCTCTAAAAGGAGGCAAATGACCAGCTGTCTGCAAGGAGTATAAATCCTTCCATTCCCCACCACCCAGTCAGAACTGAAGACGCTTCTGGGATGAGAAGTGAAACGTCTTCAAAGAAAAACCAGAAAGTCCCGTTGCCTCCTGAAAAAAGCCCCTTTGGGACAACTGAGGACACAGACAAACCTCCAAGTGGCCTCAACGACTCTCTAAAAGAATGCAAATGACCAGCTTTCTGCAAGGAGTATAAATCCTTCCTTTCCCCACCATCCAGCCAGAGCTGAAGAAGCTTCTGGGATGAGAAGTGAGACATCTTCAAAGAAAAACCAGAAAGTTCCGTTGCCTCCTGAAAAAAGCACCTTTGGGACAGCCCTGACCTGGATGACGGAGAATCTCCACAGACAAGTGGAGGTTTTCATTCAGAAAGCAAACAATAAAAAGTTCTAGATTCCGTTTGTTTGTCATACCCCAATTCTGTAGTTAAAAAGAAAAGCAAAAAAACAGCCAGTAGTAGTCACCTAGTAAAAGTTCTTGTGATGACAGTGGTGACTTAATTGGCCTTAGCTGGCTGAGCCCCCCGTTACGAAGAACGGTTATGGTAAAGGTTGGTCTGCCACTCTCTGCAAAATACAGGAAATATCTCAAAAGGCACCAATACACAAAGTCCATTTGTAACTGTGAATTGCTTGGGAACCCTCCGCCTGATGAAAACACTGTCCACAACCAACCTCATGGAAATTATATGTGACAAAGCAAAGAAACATCTTAATACAGAAGATTCTCAAAGTAAATACAAAGCTAAAACCAGATACTTTTCCCTTTGGCTTTAATGAGATTTGGGGTGGGTGGGAAAATTGGAACTCTTGATATTATATATGTTGACAGCGGCAAGATTACTTTACGCACAACAATGGAAGGACGCTGTGATTCCCACCATGGATGAATGGCTGCAAAAGCTGGAGGAGTTTGCAAAGATGGCTAAACTGACTGCTTTGATTAAATAAATAAATAAATAAAAAACCACCCCTGCAATTACTTTTGTTTCTACTTGGAAACCGCTTCTGGACTTTGTGCTTGAGGTGGGAAAAAAATATATATGAAACTTTGATTTGGGGTTTTACTGATTAGATAGGTTTTTTGTTATAGAAATGGCTAGTTCAGGGGTAGGCAACCTTGGCTCTTTTATGATTCGTGGACTTCAACTCCCAGAATTCCTGAGCCAGCATGGCTGGCTGAGGAATTCTGGGAGTTGAAGTCCACGAGTCATAAAAGAGCCAAGGTTGCCTACCCCTGGGCTAGTTTATGCTGTTTTGAGTTTTGATGTTGTTATCTTATTCAACCCACACCAAAGGGAGTCAGATAGGTTTTCCCCTTCCTTCTCCCTCCCTTATTTTTCTATTTTCTTTTGCATCTTTACATTTTATATTATAAACTGATAATAAAAAGGAAATTATGCCCAGTTCGTTCTGCTTGGGCTTCTGCATGGCTTACTCTTAACCTAACAACCAGAAACACCTCTGGAGATTATCTGCTCCGTTTCCAACGAAGCTATCAGTCAAAATTAGCTTCCCTTGTTCTCCTTCTCTAGAACAAGGGAAGTTTAAGTTTTCCAGAGCAGCTTCACAATTCCCTCAAGGTGTCCCAAGTGCCACCCTTCCAGCTACATGCAACCATGATTGAAACGGAGGCCAGGGTGTGGCTGACAAAAAAAAACCCCACAACTTTTTAACAATGGGAATCAAAAGATGTATTAGCATATTATTTACGTTGTTCTCTCCCACAGCTTGGAAATGTCTGATACTCTGCTACATAGCACAAAGACACATGGGCGCACACACATAATTCGGAGGACCTTTTTTTTTTAAAAGCAGTTACCTTTTTCTTATTGCATATGTCTCCAACGCCAACACAGGTGAGCTGAAAAAAAAGGAAAGCATTCATTTGATTTGCAGGTACGCTCCCTGGTCCCCCCAAAATAAACAACAGCACGGAAGCAAGGATAAAGGTCAGCCAAGATTAGCCAGGAGCTGTTTCTCTTCAGCAGATGAATAGAATAGAATAGAATAATAATATATAGAATAGAATAGAATAGAATAGAATAATCTTATCTTATTCTTATATCTATATAAATAAAAATGTAAATGTTCGTTTGTTCAACATCTTAAATCTGCAAAAGTTCTTCACCGATTGCTTTGAAATTTTGACACAACGTTGCATTCGAATACGCGCGTGTTTTTATATGCCTACTATTATATAGATGTCACACCTGTGACAGGTAAAAACATGCTTTTTTTTAAAAAACAGCGCCATCTGTTGGACGTAAAAGCAACACATGCTTTTACCAGATTGAGCCACAGCAACGCGTGGCTGGGTACAGCTAGTCTATCTATATAAATAAAAATGTAAAATGTTCGTTTGTTCAACATCTTAAATCTCCGAAAGTTCTTCACCGATTGCTTTGAAATTTCGACACAACGTTGCATTCGAATACGCGCGTGTTTTTATATACCTACTATTATATAGATGCCACACCTGTGACAGGTAAAAACATGTTTTAAAAAAAACAGTGCCATCTGTTGGACGTAAAAGCAACACACGCTACGGTTTTACCATTCCATTTCAATGTTTCCGATTTACGATCCATTTACGATTTCCAATTTTACGGATTCCATTTCAACGTTTCCGATGGCATTGTTAAATTGAATTTTTCATAGGTTTCGATTTATTTTCATTTTGATTGAATTATTTCGGGTGACATTGCGTTGGAATTGATGCACAGACAATGGAACAACAAAAAAGACTGTATACCCACAAGCGTTGTGAAATGAAACATATTAGAAACGTGCGCTTTCTCTTCTTTTCTTTCTTTTCCATTTAACCAGACTGAGCCACAGCAACGCGTGGCCGGGTACAGCTGGTACAAAATATAAAACCAACGAGTATTGCCGGGTAAAGACTGTAAAGATGAGCCTAGAGAGATAACTTCAAAAGGAACTCTCCGGTTTTTAAACATTACTCTTCTTCTTCAATCTAATATCTTCAACTCCCAAAGGATCTTTTTTCATCAGGATGCCACACATGTGGGGCAGAGCGAAGCCGGGGTATTCCAACCAGTCCTGCTGAAAAATTAGCTGCCTCGGAGTCTTTTTTCCCCCCCCTGCACTGATATTTCTGTTTTCTTGACGTTTAGGAAGTGGTGTTATGCTTTGAGAAATGCCTTTTCCCCCCCTCTCTTTTCTTCCCTGTCACATCTTTCAAACTGTAGGTCTTAGGACCGAGGCTGTCTCTATTAATTAATTTCAGAAAAACTGCTCCGAGAATCGTTTGGGCTGAAGCAAAGGATTAAAAATAACTAAAAGCGCAGGGCATTTACTTAGAGTAATCTGCAAGTGGAAGTATCAGATTGTAAATAGCATTAAAGGTAGATTCCACTTCTGCTCACCATTCCTTGACAGGAACGCACAGTCCAAGGCTGACTGTCGTCATTCTTGTATACAAACAGCTTTCCATTGGTGTCCCCTACCACTAGTTCATTCAGCTGGAGAGAAAGAGAGAGATAAAAAAAAACAACGTTAATACAATTTCTTTTTTTGTTTTTAATTCAAAAGTGTTCTTCACCCCTCCCCCCCATTATTTCTTAATTACAAATCTCCAACTATGTGACACTGAATATGGATGCTGGAAATAGATACAGAGATAGGTGATACCAACAGAGAGATGATAGAAATAGCTGATATTGATAATTTATATGTATAGTAAGATTCTAGGGATATATTGATACATATATAAAATAGATATAGATTTAGATGATATTGATAGTTGATATATATATAAAGATTCTAGAAATACAGATATTGATAGATATATAAAGATAGACGATAAAGACAGATATATTGACAGTTGATAGATTCTAGATATGATTGATATATAAAGATATAGATGATAGAAAGATGACATTGATAGTTGATATATAAAGATTCTAGAAATACAGATATTGATATAGATGATAGACAGATTATATAAATAGATACTGATAGTTGATATATATAGATTCTAGAGATATAGCTATATAAAGATATAGATACAGACAATAGATAGATATTGACAATATAAAGATATTGATAGTTGATATACATAGAAAGATCTTCTAGAGATATAGATACAGATAGATATATAAAGATATAGAAACAGATGATAGAAAACTATTGGTAGTTGATATATATAGATTCTAGAAATACAGATATTGATAGATATATAAAGACAGATGATAGACAGATGATGGAACAGATATTGATAGCTTATATAGAAAGATTCTAGAGATATAGCTATATAAAGATATAGACAGATGAAAGATAGATATTTGATATACAAAGATCTAGAGATAAGACACAGATATATAAAGATCTAGAAACTATAGAAAGATGATATTGGTAGTTGATATAGAAAGATTCTAGAAATACAGATATGGATAGATATATAAAGATAAGATGATAGATGATATAGTTGATACATAGGAAGATTATATATGTATGTATGTATGTATGTATGTATGTATGTATGTATATTTCAAAATTTGGATTGCTAACAAAGAATTAAGGGAGAACTGGAATAGCCATTTCGAACTTTTTAGTTCTTTTCAACCAGACATATATATATAAAAAAAGATATAGACATGATAGATATTGATAGTTGATGTATGTATGTATATGTGTGTGTATGTATATATATATATAGATATAGATATAAAGATAGATGATAGACAGATGATATAGTTGATACAGAAAGATTCTAGAGATGTAGATATATAAAGATATAGACAGATGAATGATATTGATAGTTCATATATATATTCTAGAAATACAGATGTTGATGGATAAATAGATGATAGATAACAGATATAGATATTGATAGTTCATATATAGATATAGACAGATTTAGAGATATAGATAGATATATAAAGTTAGATATAGAGACAGAGGGATGATATAGAATAGAATAAAATAACAGTTGGAAGGGACCTTGGAGGATATTGATAGTTGATATGTGTGTGTGTACGAAAACACAGATGACAGATGACATTGATAGCTGATATATACAGATAGAGGACACTGATATTGATATATATATCTAAAGATAGAGGATGGATAGAGATATTGATCCATGATATACACAGAGAGAGAGACAGACGGAGGATGGAGATCCCGGACAAGGCCCCTCCTTGCCCTCCTCCCTTCTCCCCCCCCCTCCGGACCCACCGCGTCGTTGTCGGCGTCGCCCAGGGAGACGGCGCGCGGGAAGAGGCTGCCGCCGAAGTCGAGAGCCACCCGGCGGACGTAGCTCACCGAGCGCATGGCCGCTCTAGCGCGGCGACTCTCGCTGGCTGCGGCGGTGAACTTCCGGTTCCTGCGACAACCCCCCCCCCATCCCCGGAAATATAACCACGGGAAGAGCCGCCCCTTGCCGGCCGCCTCACGCTCGCCCCCTGCCGGCGGCGGAGTTTGCAAGGCGAGCTCGCCCTGGACCAGCCAAAGATGGACGAAGGCAGGCAAAAGGGGCAATAAACCAGGATAACATTTGGGAGGAAATTCAAACCACGAAATCTAGCCCGCGATTAATCACAGCAACCCTGATTGGCAGGTGGCAGCCTGCATGGTAGGCAGTACAGGCGGTCCTCGGCGTACGACCCCAATTGAGCCCAACATTTCTGTTGCTAAGTGAGACAATGGTTCAATGAGTTTGGCCCCATTTTACGACCTTTCTCGCCTGCAGTTGTTAAATTAGTAACCCCGTCGTTAAGGGAATCAGGTCTTCCCTCTTGACTTTGCTTGCCAGAAGGTTGCAAAAGTATTTTTTTTTAATATATTTTATTGGTTTTTAACCATAACAGTCTCCAGTGCCTGGTCTACAGCGTGTTATCTTGGTTTGTATTTTAACAAGAAAAAAAAGAATTAACAATAATGATTAAATTTAATAATTCCATAATTAATATATTCATTAATGATACGTTTCTTTGATCTTCCCTTCTCCCATTTGTATTCTCCTTCTTCAACCTTAGCCAAAATTTAATTCTTAATATTTTCAATATATAAATGATTAGGTATAAGCATTTTTTGTATTTATACAAATAATAATAATCTCTCTATATAACATTTTTTTCCAGCTTATATTATTCTCATAACCATCATCTCATTAGTTCAGCATACATCCTATTTTTATAATTTTTGTTCGCTTAAATTCCCTTATATGCAATCCAATTCTTCATATTAGTCATCTAACGGTCTAAATTTTCCCATTTAGGTACATCATCCCAATATTTTATGTCATGCATTATAAAAATACTATACTTTTTATCTGTCATAGTATCTAGATATAACATTCTTTTTTAATCAGTTTATATTTTACTTATATATATTAGTAAACATTACATCAACCTACTATTGCAAAAGTTGTTCTCACACAGCAGCCGTCGTAAATGTGAGTCAGTTCTGTCAAGCCTGGGGATGCTGCAACGGTCGTAAAATGTGAAAAACGGCTGTAAGTCATTTTTTTTAGTGCCGTCGTAACTTTGAACAGTCACTGAGCGAACAGTTGTAAGTTGAGGACTCCCTGCAATGCATTTATCATAGACTCAGAAAAGACTGCAAGGTTATTTATTAATGGATTTTAAGATGTTTATCTCTTTATTTTCAATTTCTAGCATCGTAAAATGGAAAAAGAGAGAGAAAGGCTTAAGATGATAAAACTAAATCAGAGTCAAAAAAGGGTTGATGAAAATTAGGCATCTTTTTGGTTTCCCGGGCTATTTGCATTTTTGTGAATATATAAAAAAAAGATGTTAAACATGAAGTCAATCAAACTAAAATAAGATTTGGAAATCAGACACGTACGGTAGGTCAATATCTCATTCAAACTGATGAAATGAAGCAACAAAACCCAGTCCAGGTAAATCTAGATTTAATACTGATCCTTTATGAACTTTTTTTTTGTTTATCTAGTTGGATTCGTAACCTGTCTGGCAAAAATCTACAAAATTTAAGAAAAAAAAATAATTCTTCTAGCAGCCATTGATATGGTTACAACTACCGGTACGTAGTTGTGTGCCTTCAAGGCTAGCCATCTTTCAGGTATTCCTTTAGCTAATAACATGGTTTCCCCCTGAATCCCAGATTTAACAAAGGATGTGAATTATCAGATACTTGAATAAATAAGAAACAATTAGCCGTTCAAACTAAGGAGGCAACCAGTAGCATTAGAGATGCTCTTTTAATAGAATGTGTTAGAATCATTGGTAAATCTTTTGGTCTTGTGTGAAGAAATTACATGGAGGAGGACCTAATTGGTATTACCGATAGCTTACATGGATACAAATTTTTATGGGTACCTTTATTGCATAGGCAAATTTTCTTCCTCCCTTTGTCTATCCTATCTATCTCTCTATCATCCATCCATCCATCCTTCTCTTCCTTTCTCCCTTCTTTCCTGTCTTATTTTCTTCCTTCATTTATTTTCCTTCCATTTTTTCTCCTTCCAACCTTTTCCTTCTTTCTTCCTATCTTTTTCTTCCTTCCTTCTATTTTTTTCTCCTTCCTACCTTTTCCTTCTTTCTCTTCTTTTCCTTCCTTCCTTCTATTGTTCCTCCTTCCTATCTTTTCCTCCCTCCCTCCCTCCCTCCCTCCCTAACTAACTTTTCCTTCACCTCTTTTTCTCCCTTCCATTTTTCCTCCTCCCTACCTTTTCCTTCTTTCTCTTCCTATCTTTCCCTTCCTCCTTTTGTTTTTCCTCCTTCCTGTCTTTTTCTTCTTTCTCATTCCCATTTCCTCCCTTACTTCCCTGCATCCTTCTCCTTCCTCTATTTATTTTCTTTCTTTCTTTCTTTCTTTCTTTCTTTCTTCCCTTTCCCTCTTTCTTACTCTTCTTTCCTTTCCTTCCTTTCTTCCTTCCTTCCCTCTTTCATACTCTTCCTTCATTCCTTCCCTCACCCTTTCATTCTCTTCTTTCTTTCTTTCTTTCTTTCTTTCTTTCTTTCTTTCTTTCTTTCTTTCTTTCTTTCTTTCTTTCTTCCCTTTCCCTCTTTCATACTCTTCTTTCTTTTCTTTCCTTCCTTTCTTCCTTCCTTCCCTCTCTTTCATACTCTTCCTTCATTCCTTCCTTCCTTCCCTCTCCCTCTTTCCTTCCTTCCTTCCTTCCTTCCTTCCTTCCAAGGCAAACACTCCCGCAGCCTCCCACTGCCCCCCCTGTCACTGCGCACGCGCGGTGGCTTCTTCGGCTCTCCTTCTCTCCCTCCCTCCCTCGCGGAGCGCCGCCCTTTCGCTCGGATCCCGGCCGCGGGAGCCAAAGTGGGCGGGGCTCATCCCGGAAGCCTTGGCCCCGCCCTCCCTTGCAAGATCCCCGGGCAGCTCCCAGCGCCAGGTGAGCTCCGACAGGCGGTGGGGCTTTTTTAAAATTTATTTATTTATTTATTTTTGTCTTGGGTGGGTGGGTGGGGAAGAGTTCGTGGCTGGGCTGGCCAAGCCCGGTGGGCGCCTTTGCAAGCATCCTGCACGCAGGCGGTGGGTGGGTGGGGAAGCCTGGAAATCCTTTGCAAAGGGGCTTTTTTTTTCAGGAGGCGCCTGGACTCTTCTTGGTTTTCCTTTGAAGACCTTTCGCTTCTCATCCTAGGGTTGCTTCTTGATTACCTTTTCCTGCAAGGGGTGCCATGTTTTTTTGACGGATGTTTAATGTAGACTGCCATCCAGGGTGTTTTTGTTTTTAAAAAAAAGAACTTAGTTTGAACACTGTATCCCTTCTGGTATGTTTCTATTTTGTTACTGAGGAATACAACAGAATAGAAAATTAGAATACTGTAGAATGGAATGGAATATAGAATAGAATAGAATAGAATATTAGAATACTGTAGAATGGAATGAAATGGAAAGGAATAGAATAGAATAGAATAGAATATTAGAATACTGTGGAATGGAATGAAATTGAAAGGAAAGGAATAGAATAGAATAGAATAGAATAGAATAGAATAGAATACTGTAGAATGGAATAGAATAGAATAGAATAGAATATTAAAATACTGTGGAATGAAATGGAAAGGAATAGAATAGAATAGAATAGAATAGAATATTAGAATACTGTGGAATGGAATGAAATGAAATGGAATAGAATAGAATAGAATATTAGAATACTGTGGAATGGAATGAAATGGAAAGGAATAGAATAGAATAGAATATTAGAATACTGTGGAATGGAATAGAATAGAATAGAATACTGTGGAATGGAATGGAATGGAATGGAATAAAATGGAACAGAATAGAATAGAATAGAATACTGTGGAATGGAATGGAATAGAATAGAATAGAATATTAGAATACTGTGGAATGGAATGAAATGGAAAGGAATAGAATAGAATATTAGAATACTATGGAATGGAATAGAATAGAATTAGAATAGAATATTAGAATACTGTAGAATAGAATGGAATAGAAGAAATGAAGAACAGAATAGAGTTAGAAATAGAGTAGAATTAGAAATAGAATAGAACAAAAGCTTTATTGTCACTTTAAATGTACCCTAACCAGCATACATTAAAATGAAATTTCATTGCATTCAGCTCTCAAAAATCACCATTCTTCATATACCCACACACCCACACAGACGCTGCAGCATTTTAAACCTGCTATTTATTGCTGAACTTTAAAAAGAGGAAGGAAATTCACGCCTCATCCATAGGAAACTTCTGTTTTGTTCTAGAAAAAAAAAAAGTAACATCCAAATGCCTAGTTTCACAATTTAGGAGATTTATCTGGTTCTCCTCAGTTAAGTTGTCTTCTGATGTAACAGACTTCACGCTCTAAAGTCCTGTTGCACGTTTTGGAAATTGGGCCCTTTACATTCTGAGGGTGCCACGTTAGAGAACTTATTGCTCCATTGCTATAATCTTGTCTAAACAAGATGGTCCTCGACTTGTAACAGTTTATTTAGTGACAGTTCAGAATTACAAAGGCACTTTTAAAAAAAAGCGACTCGTGACCGTTTTTCACACTTAACGACCGTCGCGGCCTCCCCATGGTCACGTGATCAACTGACTCATAGTTATGACGGGGGGCGGCGGTGTCCCGGGGGGGGTTGTCACGTGATCCCCTTTTGCGACCGGCAAAGCCAGATTCACTTAACAACCGTGTTAACTAACTGAACTGCAGCGATTCGCTTAACGACCGTGGGAAGAAAGGTTGTGAAATGGGGCAGAATTCACTTATTAAATGTCTCGTAAATTTTGGGGGTCAATCCGTTGTGGTCGTAAGCTGAGGACCACCTGTATGATGTTCTTTATCGAGGGTGTTCAGAAAAGTGTTGCCAAGGTGGAGGAGGGCCTGTAGGAACTTGCAGAATCGTTGTGTTACCCCTGCGCTGGCATTCAAAAACATTTTCTGGAATTGTCAAGGACAGCCACACTCAAGGCCTGAAGATTGTGTTGCTGAGAAGGACACGCTGAGCGCGGTCTGGGCTAAACGGGGCTTGCTGGAATCACCATCTGCTCGGCTTCTCCCACAGCTTCGGTTGCGTGTTGCTTTGCGGGAGCCGTTTCGCCCTAGGATGAGGCTGGTAATCCTAGAAAATTACGATTTGGCGAGCGAATGGACGGCAAAGTACATCTGTAACCGCATCGTCCAGTTCAAGCCTAACCAAAACCGATATTTCACCCTTGGCTTACCGACAGGTAATTAATTTTAGAATAGATATTTATTGTGATTTTTATTATCGCCTGTTCACCGCCCTGAGTCCCGTAAGGGAGATAGGGCGGTATACAAATCTAAATAAACATAAACATAAACATAATTTTCTTCTGTCTCTCTCCCTCCCTCCCCTCCCTCTCCCTCTCTCTTTCTCCATTCCTCCCTCTCTCTCCCTCTCTCTAATTCCCTCTCCCTCCCTCTCTCCCTCTCTTTCTCTGTTCCTCCCTCTCTCCCTCTCCCTAATTCCCTCTCTCTCTTTCTTCGTTCCTCCCTCTCCCTAATTCCCCCTCCCTCCCTCTCTCCCCCTCCCTCATTCCCTCCCCCTCTCTCTTCCACTTAATTTTCAATACCGTTGTAACTTTAGCCACCACGGCTAAAGATGGATGGATAGGTAGATAGATAGATGATAGGTAGGTAGGTAGGTAGATAGGTAGATAGATGGATAGATGATAGATAGATAGCAATCAAAATAACAATAGCACTGTCCTAGACTTACAGCCCTCTCTAAGCAGTTTAGAGAGTCAGCATCTTGCCCCCAACAATCTGGGTCCTCATTTTACCAAACTCGGAAGGCTGAGGCAATCTTGAGCAGGTCAGGATCGAACTTCCTGGCTGAGGGCAGAGTCAGCCTGCAATACTGCATTCTACCCCTGTGCCACTACAGATAAAGATGGATGGATAGATAGATAGATAGATAGATAGATAGATAGATAGATAGATAGATAGATAGATAGATAGATAGATAGATAGATAGATGGGTGGGTGGGTGGGTGGGTGGGTGGGTAGGATAGGATAGGATAGGATAGGATAGGATAGGATAGTGATGATAGATAGATAGATAGATAGATAGATAGATAGATAGATAGATAGGATAGTGATGATAGATAGATAGATAGAGATAGCTAGACTAGATAGGTAGGTAGGTAGATAGATAGATAGATGATAGGTAGATAGATGATAGATAGATAGAGAGAGAGAGAGAGAGAGATTGAGATAGATGATAGATAGATAGATAGATAGATAAGATAGAGAGAGAGAGATTGAGATAGATGATAGATAGATAGAGAGATAGAGAGATAGAGAGATAGATAGATAGATGATAGGTAGATAGATAGATGGATGATAGGTAGATAGATGGTAGATAGATAGATAGATAGATGATAGATAGATAGATAGATAGATAGATAGACAGACAGACAGATAGATAGATAGATAGATAGATAAATGGATGATAGGTAGATAGATGATAGGTAGATGATAGGTAGATAGATGATAGATAGATGATAGATAGATAGATAGATGGGTGGGTGGGTGGGTGGGTAGGATAGGATAGGATAGGATAGTGATGATAGATAGATCGATAGATAGATAGATAGATAGGATAGTGATGATAGATAGATAGAGATAGCTAGACTAGATAGGTAGGTAGGTAGATAGATAGATAGATAGATAGATAGATAGATAGATAGATAGATAGATAGATAGATAGATAGATGATAGGTAGATAGATGATAGGTAGATAGATAGATAGATAGATAGATAGATAGATAGATAGATAGGATAGTGATGATAGATAGATAGTTAGAGATAGCTAGACTAGGTAGGTAGGTAGGTAGGTAGGTAGGTAGGTAGATAGATAGATAGATAGATAGATAGATAGATAGATAGATGGATGATAGGTAGATAGATAGATGGATGATAGGTAGATAGATGATAGGTAGATAGATAGATAGATAGGTAGATAGATAGATAGATAGATAGATAGATAGGTAGATAGATAGATAGATAGATAGATAGATGATAGATGGATGATAGGTAGATAGATGATAGGTAGATGATAGGTAGATAGATGATAGATAGATAGATAGATAGATAGATAGATAGATAGATAGATAGATAGCAATCGAAATAGCAATAGCACCTAGACTTATATACTGTCTCACAGGGCTTTACAGCCCTCTCTAAGCAGTTTATAGAGTCAGCCTTTTGCCTCCCCCCAACAATCTGGGTCATTTTACCGACCTCGGAAGGACGGAAGGCTGAGTCAGCCGGTCAGGATCAAACTGCTGTCAGTGGGCAGAGTCAGCCCGCAATCCTGCCTTCTAACCCCTGCCCCTAACCAGGGCTCATGATATAATCATAACTGGACTTGTGATCCCCTCTCATCTTTTGCAATTCCAGTGAAAGGTATTTTTCTTAGCGCCCCGGGATAACGAAACGTTTGCTTGATGCAGGAAGCACGCCTTTGGGATGCTACCAGAAGCTGATAGACTATCACAAAAGAGGGGATCTCTCTTTTAAATATGTGAAGACATTCAATATTGATGAATACGTAGGTAAGTTTGCCTTTTTTTTTTTTTAAGCACACCTGTGTTGGTGACGGGGGCTCAGATTTGCAGTGTTAACGCAACCTCGGATAGAGTTGCATGCTTCGGTACACCTTCCCTATCCATTTCAATTTTCCTTGAGATCCACTAATTAAACAGCTCTGCTTTGGTTCCAGGCCTTCCGAGGAATCACCCGGAGAGCTATCATTCTTACATGTGGAACAATTTTTTTAAGCATATTGATATAGATCCAAACAATGCCCATATTCTCGATGGGAACGCACCGGATCTAAAAGCAGAGTGCGACGCCTTTGAAAAGAAGATAGAAGAAGCTGGAGGAATCGAACTGTTTGTTGGAGGTGAGCTTAAGCAAAAAACTGAAACCATCAGTGAGTAATCCAATTAGTACAAGGTACTATTGAAGTATCGTTGCTTAGAGGAATAAAATGATACAGGTAGTCCGGGACTTCAGCCGCAAATTTATGTTGCCACGTGAGACATTTGTTTTGAGTTTTGCCCCATTTTACGACCTTTTTTGCCAGAGTCGTTAAGCGAATCTCTGCAGCTTTTAAGTTAGTAGCACGGTTGTAAAATGAATCTGGATCCCCCCCCTTGGCTTTGCTTGTCAGAAAGTGGCAAAAGGGGATCAAATGAGCCCGGGACACGGGTACCGTCATAAAAACAAGTCAGTTGCCAAGCGTCTGAATTTGGATCACGTGACCGTGGTGATGCTGCTGTGAACATAAGGGTGAAAAATGGTCAAAAGTCACCTTTTTCAGGGCCTTTGAACTGTCGTAAGTTGAGAACTGCCTGTTTTCATTTTTCCGTTGCCACACTGCTTACTCCTGTATTCTAGCCTGTTTTTCCCCTAGTAATTTTGAATTATTCCTAACAGCTATTGAAACTATTTGTTCTCAAAGAAAGAGGCCAGGCACTTTGTGAATACTGTACCCTCCGCTTCTCAGACGCTTGATCAATGGGTGAGGGGATGAGCACATAGTATCAAAACACAATTCCCTTCTCCAATTAACAGTCATAAATCACATTCTCCAATTAGTTTGAAATGCAGGCTTCCCCTCCAGTTCTCCAGCCCGCCAATTCTTATCATCTCTTATTTCAATCACCTTGGTTCTCACACTAGGTCCAGTATTGTTATGTGTAGCTAAACTCTCATGCAGATTCTTTCCCCCAGCATCATCTAACTCTAGCTCTAACTCTAAAAGCAAAACATAAGAAAAAAATGGTTGCATCTCCAACTCTGTCCAAAAAGGACAGATCCTGCATCGTAAACAAAAGCATATGTTAGGGACTGTCTCTCGGTTTGTTAGGGTGTTTCTTCTAGAAACTTTTAATGAGTCTGTCAGCTTTCACATCGCTAGACTTTTACCCAAGTGGCTTCAGACAACGAATATCCCTTCCATCGTACTAAGTACTGCAATTTCCCTTTTAAAAATTCTAGAATCAAGAATACGCTTTACTTCATAGTGGGTCTGACCCGCCACCACGAAGGGTCCGGGTGCCTTCTTAGGGGGAGGGTCTTAAAGTAGAACCCCAAAAAGGTTTCAGCAGGCTGCAATGGAAGACAGGGTGAATTCTCCCTAAAAGTCTACGGAGTTTTAATTCCACGGATTAATGTGCAGTGCTTCCCTGTTGATCTCCAGCAGTGCTTCAAGAGCACGTAAGTGCCCAACTCTAGCGTCTGTCTGCAAATGTTTATGGCAACTGTTGTCTTTTCTTAGGAATCGTGAAGCTGCCCTTAGCAGAAAAAGACACGGCTGCTTTAAAGAGCGGCAGACGGGTGCCGTGTTTGTGTTCCAGATTTTGCGACCTGGGTGTAAAGTCTGGCACAACCCCACAAAATTGCTAACAAACGGTATTTTGATTCAGGCCCTGAAGCACTCCTTGGGATTCTTTGCAGACGGTCCTTACAGATGCCTACTAGTTGGGTGTTTGTTTCCCTTTCCATAGAGGTTGGTTGTTCAGGGCGTCCTCGGCTTACAACAGTTCATTTAGTGACCGTTCAAAGTTACAACGGCACTGAAAAAACCGACTTAGGATCGTTTTTCACACTTAGGACTTTTGTGACATCCCCAGGGTCTCGTGATCAAAATTCCAAATGCTTCGCCAACTGACTCACACTCATGACGGAGGCAGTGTCCCCAGGGGGGGTCACGTGATCCTCTTTTGCGACCTTCTGACAAGCAAAGTCAATGGGGGAAGCCAAACTCACTTAACAACCGGGTTACTATCTTAACAACTCTGGCAAGAAAAGTCGCAAAATGGGGCAAAACTCACTTCACAAACGTCTCAGCCTAAACTTTGAGCTCAACTGTGGACGTAAGTCGAGTGTTCCTGGCCAAGCGTGCCTCGCCCACACCGCTTTTGTCATTTGTGGTCTTTCCAAGGCATTGGCCCTGACGGTCATATCGCTTTCAACGAACCGGGATCCAGTTTGGTGTCAAGAACCAGATTGAAAACTCTCGCCATGGATACCATTCTGGCGAATGCGAAATACTTCGATGGTGATTTATCTAAGGTTCCAACTATGGCCTTAACCGTTGGCGTGGGAACAGTCATGGATGCCAGGGAGGTCAGAACATCCGTCTTTATATTTGCATTTTTTAAAATGTATCTGAAAACTGGAGTGCTGTATATATAAGTCACGGCCTTTAGAATTAGCGCACTACAAATGTCCATGACTAAATCTCCATGGCAGAGGCGGGGAACTACGACCCCTTTTATGGCTTGTGGACTTCAACTCCCAGAATTCCTGAGGCAGCCATTTTAATAGGTAAGATTCAGGTTCTAAGGCAGAGGTGGGGAACTATGACCCCTTTTATGGCTTGTGGACTTCAACTCCCAGAATTCCTGAGCCGGCCATTTTAATATGTAAGACCCAGGTTCTAAGGCAGAGGTGGGGAACTACGGCCCCTTTATGACTTGTGGACTTCAACTCCCAGAATTCTTGAGGCAGCCATTTTAATAGGTAAGATTCAGGTTCTAAGGCAGAGGTGGGGAACTACGACCCCCTTTATGACTTGTGGACTTCAACTCCCAGAATTCTTGAGGCAGCCATTTTAATAGGTAAGATTCAGGTTCTAAGGCAGAGGTGGAGAACTACGGCCCCCTTTATGACTTGTGGACTTCAACTCCCAGAATTCTTGAGGCAGCCATTTTAATAGGTAAGACTCAGGTTCTAAGGCAGAGATGGGGAACTACAGACCCTTGTATGGCTTGTGGACTTCAACTCCCAGAATTCCTGAGCCGGCCATTTTAATATGTAAGACCCAGGTTCTAAGGCAGAGGTGGGGAACTACAGCCCCCTTTATGACTTATGGTTAGTCTCCCAATTCAGAGCAATTAATAACAGTATAAACCAGGGGCATCCAACTTTGGCAACTGGTGGATTTCAACGCAAGATGGCTGGCTGGGGAATTCTGGGAGTTGAAGTCCAAAAGAACCAAGATTGGACACCTTAGCTTAGTATCGTCTGTTGCAATTAGGGATTGCTGCTTTCCTAGCTTGCTTGATTCTGCATCCATCCATGCTTGTCTTCCAGGTTATGATTCTGATCACGGGCGCACACAAAGCCTTCGCCTTATACAAGGCCATCGAAGAAGGCGTCAACCATATGTGGACGGTTTCTGCCTTCCAGCAACATCCCCATACAATTTTTGTGTGTGACGAAGATGCCACTTTAGAACTCAGAGTTAAAACGGTGAAGTATTTTAAAGGTGAGTGTCATCATATGAGGAATGGTTGCAGGATTTGGGTATAGCCAGTCTAGAGAAAAGAAGGACCAGGGGCGACACGATAGCAGTATTCCAGTATCTGAGGGGCTGCCACAAAGAAGAGGAGGGGGGTCAACTTATTTTCCAAAGCACCAGAAGGCAGGACAAGAAACAACGGATAGAAACTGGAAGTTTTTAAGAAGAGACTGGACAGCCATTTGTCCGAAACGGTATAGGGTTTCCTGCCTGAGCAGGGGGTTGGACTAGATGACCTCCAAGGTCCCTTCCAACTTTATTATTACTACTACTACTACTACTATTATTACTACTACTACTACTACTACTATTATTATTATTATTATTATTATTATAAACTAACCAAGGAGAGAAGCTACCTGGAATTAAGGAGAAACTTCTTAACAGTGAGAACAATTAACCAGTGGAACGCCTTGCCAACAGAGGTTGTGGGTGCTCCATCACTGGAAGTTTTTAAGAAGAGATTGGACCGCCATTTGTCTGAAATGGTATAGGGTTTCCTGCCTGAGCAGGGGGCTGGACTAGAAGACCTCCAAGGTCCCTTCCAGATTGACTGCCTGCCGTAGGAACGGCATAACGTTAACTAGTAATACGAGTAATAACAAGATTTATTTTTTTAATCTTCAAGGTTTAATGCACGTGCACAACAAACTCGTGGAGCCTCTGCGTAGTATGAAAGAGCAAAATTGAAGGACGGAACCACGCTGGAGCCACTGGGCGGGCTGGGGTGGGGTGGGGACGGGACCCTGGCAGTGTGTTTTGGGGGGAGCAGACTGCTAGGCCCCATTGCGAAAAAACTGGCTAAAACTTCAGCTTCTTTATAAACCCGGCCGGGGCTTGTGGTAACGTTTATCCTGGCGGTCCAAATGCGCGCGTACATTCCTCTCCGTGCTGTCACAAGCCCTCTTTTCGTCTGTTTCCCCCCCCCCCCCAGACCTGTTTTGCTTCTTGCACGTTATTACATCGTGTGAAACTAGGGAAAAATTCAGGAAAAAGAGGATAAAACTCAAGACGAGCTTTTCCAGGGGGGAGAGTAAATGTTCTGGCAGGGGGGGTCTCTGGAGGATGCGTTAGAAAAAGATTCCACCGGTGCGATTTCAGTTCCATCTTTTTTTATGACGCGTGAAGGACTTTGAGAACCGGGTTCAGGCCATCGTGGTTTTTTCCCGATCGCACCCTGCAGACACTCCTGGCTCTGTGGCTTGCATATAAATACTTCTTTGTTGCTTTAGATCAGTGTTTCTCAACCTTGACAATTTTAAGGCATGTGGACTTCAACTCCCAGAATTCCACAGCCAGCATTGCTGGCTGTGGAATTCTGGGAGTTGAAGTCCACATGCCTTAAAATTGTCAAGGTTGAGAAACACTTGCTTTAGATCTTGGCCTCTTCGACATTAAGTGTAACGGAGAAGCAGACCTTTTACAACCAGGTGTTCATAATCCATGGCCATGACTCTGTTACTCCTTCCTTCTTTCCTTTTCTTTTTTCTTTCCTTCCTTGCTTCTTTTCCTCCTTCCCTTCTTTGTTCTTTTTCTCTGCTTCCTTCCTTTCTTTTTTTACTCTTTTCCTTCTTTCCTTTTTCTCCTTCCTTCCTTTTCTTTTTTCTTTCCTTGCTTCCTTTTTTCCCCTTCCTCCTTCCCTTCTTCGTTCTTTTTCTCTGCTTCCTTCCTTTCTTTTTTTACTCTTTTCCTTTCCTTTTTCTTTCTTTCCTTCCTTCCTTCCTTTTTCTTCCTTTCTTTCCTTCCTTTTGTTTCTTTCTCTTTCTTTCTTTCTTTTTCTTTCTTTCTTTTTCTTTCTTTCTTTTTCTTTTTCTCTTCTCCATCCTTCATTCCTTCCTCTTAAATACATCTTAAATGTATATTTATTTCTGCTGTAACCCTCATTTGAAGGGTGGGGGAATTGGATCATTTAGGCGGCTTTACATGGTTAGTCTTGCTGGAAACGGGCAATGGAGTCTTGTCTGTTTTGAATGCCAATGCAACTGTTATAATCTCCTAAGCCGCACTCGTGTTGAGTTTAGCTGAAGTAAAGAGGCATATTGCTGTCTTCTGTGGTGGCCCTGCATTTTTCAAGCGTCTTGTGGATCGAAAGAGAACTGGGAACTCTCCTGAGGGGAAGGAGGAAGGGGTGTGTGTGTGCTGTATTACTTCTTTCACAAAGCAACGGACTCCCTTTCTCCACTGTGATGGGGGTTTTCTGGATTTGGTTTCTCGCATTTTGAGATAAAGCTAAGGAAACTGCTCAGGGTTCAGCCTCCCAAGAGCATGGCGTCAAAGTCTATTCTTGATACTTTCCACCCAGTTTTTCAAAATGTTGTGGGAATGAAAGAGTGGAGAAAGCAGCAAGAAATCTCTCTGAATAATACCATCATTCCTCCTTTCACAGCCCTAACCCTGAAGCTCTGCCATTGTTTAAACCAGTGATTTTCAACCTTGGCAAAGTTTAAAATGTGTGGACTTCCAACTTGGCTGGCTGGGGAATTCTGGGAGTTGAAGTCCACACATCTTAAAAGTTGCCATGATTGAAACCACTTGGCCTCTTTAAGATATGGCCACATTTGAAAAACACTTGTCTTGTATTTTTTTTCCCTGCCCTGGGAAAATAAACTTTAGTTCCAGTATGTGGTCGCTGCAGATTCTTAAATTTATACCTACAAACCGCATCCTAATGGATCAAAAGTCAATTTATACTCCACACCAAGATTGAAATAGTTTTGAAAAACACAGACTAAGCAAGCTCACGCCGAAGATCCAATATCCTCGACTTAACAACAGTTTATTTCTTGACCGTTCCAAGTTACAACGGCACTGAAACACGTCAAAGGATCATACACCCCACGTCTCACTTAGCAACGGAAACTTTGGGCTCGACTGTGGTCGTTAAGTCGAGGATACCGGTATCTGCACACCCGGTTTATTTACCTAGCGTAGTCAAGAGCTTGCAAATGTCAAGACCTAGATTGCAGTCGAATTATGGGAAAAGACGTACCGGGATCTCAAAAGGCACAATTCTAAGAAATGGCATCAAACGTTGGCGGTCAGGCTCTCGGATGCTTAAAACTATATTTCAGACTTTTAGGTCCTCAGCTTTGGTGCTTTATTGAACAACTGCAGTAGGATGGTGTCAAATCTATACACGGATAGATGAGATCAAGTTCAGGATAATATCCAGTTTTTAAACAGCTGGGTCAACGGGTCATCAAGAAGCCCAACGTCTATTTGTCGAGCTGCTTCTTGAGAACTTTGATGAACGCGTCCTTTGGCACCTCCACGTTCCCAATTCTCCTCATCTTCTTCTTCCCTTCGGCTTGCCTCTTCAAAAGTTTCATTTTCCTGGTAATATCGCCTCCGTACTGTTAATAATAATAACAATAACAATAATAATAATTTTAAGGAGGAACCTGGTTGACACCTAGGATGCTGGTAGCAACCCGTGTCAACCATCAGCGCCAGCCAATTTGAATGTTCAGTTGACTGAGGTTCACGTTTAATGAATAAAAGATATAATAATAATAATAATAATAATAATAATAATAATAATAATAATAATAATAATAATAATATAATAATGTTTTCAGATGATCAGTGGAATAAGTGCAACGGCTTCCTTCCAGACGCTGTGGGTGCTCCATTCCAATATTAGAAGTTTTAAAGAAGAGACTGGACGCCCACTTGTCTGAAATGGTGTTGGGCTTCCTGCCTGAGCAGGGGGTTGGACTAGATGACCTCCAAGGTCCCTTCCAACTCTGTGATTCTGTTATTAATAATACCTATAAAGGAGAATATTTGTAGCTCAGGGATGAGGGGTCCTTGGTGCTCTCTGAGCTTGGTTATTTTCTTGCATACGTTTCATTACCCAAACTAGGTACAATCTAGCACTGGTGATGTTACCTAGTTGGGTCATGAAACGTCTGCAAGGAAACAACCAAGCACAGAGAGCACCAGGGACCCCCAGTCCTCCTCCTCTCTGCAAATCCCCCTCCTTTCTAGCTTTGATGATGTTACCTAGTTGGGTAATGAAACGTCTGCAAGAAAACAAACTCAGAGCACCAAGGACTTCCCAATCCTTTCATCCTCCCCCTTGTCCTTCTCTCCACACACCCTACTCCCTTCTAACACTGATGATACCACCTAGTTTGGTAATGAAACGTCTGCAAGGAAACAAGCTGAGAGACCACCAGGGACCCCTCACTCCAGATTAATAACTCATAATAGCAATCAGAACACTACCAGTCCACGTGGATACTTTTTTTTTCTGCATTGCTATTATCCTAAATAATAACAAGTTAAGTTAAAAAACCATGGGAATTATATCAAACACTCCAGGTGAATTTAAACCCAGGCTCAAACTTTAAATGAAGTGGATTAAATCTTATTAAAAAAAAATGTGGCTAATTTACATTAAGAAGATTTTTTAAAAAACAAAATACTAAACTCTATAGACAGGGGAAAAAAAGATACTTACACATTTTGCCAGAACATCTTTCCTAAAAGGTTTTATCCTGGAAAATAAAGGGAACCGAGTTGCATTTTAGAGGGATAATACTAAGGGTGTTCCATAATTTGAAGTTCTGAAGCAGCAAGTAATCGCTAATTATGTGCTTTTAAACCCCTATGCTGCCTTTGCAATCAGCAGGTCTAAGAAATCAAATCAAATCAATAATGTCCTTTGACACTGAGCAGCTACTTAAGAGTTAATCTTTAGTCTTGTTTTCTAATTTATTTAAATAAAGTTTCCGTTTTCAAGTTACTGGAATGCAATATTGGATATATATTTTTTTCTTTTAACCACCCTGTAATCCAGTGGTTCTCAACCTTTTTAATGCCGTGACCCCAACCGGTCGTAAGTCGAGGACTAAACCGGTCGTAAGTCGAGGACTACCCAACCAGTCGTAAGTCGAGGACTTTCCCTGCCCGGGAGTGCCGCGCATGCGTGGTTCCGCCCCCTGCGCCGGCCAAGGCATAGCTGGCAAGCGGCAGAGACAGAGCAGGCCGACCACCAGCTGGCCCAGCTCAAGGGAGGTAAGGCACCCGCCGGAAAAGGGGAAAAAATGGCGGACAAAAAAAATGGCGGACAGCCTTGCTTGGCGACCCCCGTGAAATGGTCGATCGACCCCAAATGGGGTCCCGACCCACAGGTTGAGAACCACTGCTGTAATCCCTTGCATTGGGGTGGAGTTAGGATGACTGAATGGAGCTGAGTGTTTACTGGCTGGCTACCCTTCCTGACACCTATGCGAAGTTCACAGTAGACAATTATTCATTGTGCCCAGAGAGAGAAATAACTGCCGTTACCTAGGACCGAACCCACAGATTGTGAGGCGAGAGTTCCACCTCTAGGTGCTCATATAACTGGATATGTTATATATAATATAATCAGCCTATTTTTCATATATCAAAAAGAACACTTTTATCAGGGAGAATTTTGACATCTGCTGTGATCAGCTCATGTAATGTAAACACCCTGCCTGTCAAGAGAATCTCCCTTCTTTCATTTCAAATGTTTTACGTATTTTAATTTTTATTCCTTTTGCGGATGCTCGCCAAATAGTTCATAAACTGCAAATTGCATCATTTCAGCTATTATGGAAACCCAGTCCTCCATGCCACCTATTCCCTCCTAATGAATCTCCGTGACTAAGGACTAAATTCCATGTTAATATTCAGATGATATTAATATTAAGAGCCTGGATCTGAAGTGTTATAATGCTCGTAAGTCACTTTTTTTTTTTCGTGCTGTTGTAACTCTGAACGGCCACTAAGCGAACTGTTGTAAGCTGAGCATAAGTAGTCACTAAAAAAAAAATTCCGAAGAGAATTGAAAAAGAAAAGAAAGCTATGCAGTTATCTTTTAAAACCAAGTTAAGCATATCGACTTACGTTTCTCTGGCAATTATTTTGTTTCCGAGAGCTGCCTGGATAGCTATTTCAAACATTTGCCTGGGGATAAGGTCTCTTAATCGTTCACACATGGATTTACCGACAGAGTAGACTTTCTCTCTGGAAAAGAAAAGGTGGAAGAATGGGTCTGTCCTGGGTCTTTTCCCAGAGGACATGGACAGTGGACAGCAGGTGTCGGGCTAAGCCTAAGAACGATGTTAAAAAAAAAAATCAAGGCCAGGATTCAGTTCTTGCTTACAGACAATAGGCAGAATCT